GCTACCGCTGCACCACCCAAAGTGCGTAAAAATGCATGCGTTGGAAATCATATCTCACTATCTCACGACCTCCGAGGCGGGCGATACGAAGATCCCACGGGGCCACCCAACGCAGCGCACGTAAGGAGAGCCAGTTTTCCAGGGCGAGACTTCTTCCATCGCTGTGCCGTGGAACACTCGATCGCAAATGACACCACGTGGGGGTTTTACCGGGAGCGAACAAAAACGGCCTCTGGATGAAATTGGCTCACCGCCTCTCGCGTTGCGAGCCAGTAGTGCCACGTTTCTAGATTCAATGAGCCATTTCAATGCTAAATTATATGCTAATTCCTTTGTCAAGGCGCTTGGTGTTTTTCTTCTTAGACAGCTTAAAGGTCGTGATCTGAGCGTGGTTTCTTCCACTCCAGCGCTGTCCTGACAGTCTCGTCCCTTCACCTGATGAAGGCCGCTTGTGTTGTGGCCGAAACGTCGTGATTTTTTGTTAATTTTTTTGTTATTTTATTTTCACCTACGTGACTTTACCCAATAGAACCAAAGAGTATAGTGCCACGTTTGTAACTCGAAATCAATTTTAAAGCAATTGTACTGGAAAACGTATGGCTTGTCTCCCGGAATGCGCTATGCTAGATCTCGGAAGCTACGCAGGGTTGAGCCTGGATAGTTTATAGGATTGATGGGTGACCATCATGCGTAAAAGACGTGTGGACCGTCATAGGTGTTTGTGGGCAGTCGAGGGCAGTGCAGAAAAACACGTGTACGGTACAGTATATTGTTCTGCACTCCTTCACCGACCCGTACTAACCAGCGTTGGCACAGTATAGACACATTTCTCACAGCACACAGGGTGTGTGTGGGTAGACCTTTATCCAGCAGTGGCTTGCAAACAAAAAATATTGATCTGTACATGCACTCGAAATAAAATAAAACCACGTGGCATTTGCACGCATTGCGTAACTGTCGAGTCAGATTTGTTCCCCCTCCAACACAATAGTACGCAACGTTCGTGAAACGCTACCACAACAAATACGGTGGTGGGATGACAAACTGGAACCCCGCGTTGTTGCTGATCTGCGTCATTACCGCCGACGTCTTCTGTCCGCTCCGGCAGCACCACAGCGTCGTCTGGCGGCCGCAAAAGCCACGTCCGTTTCTGTCGTCGCTCGTTGCCCCTCCACACCGAATCTGAGTCTCAGGACTCTCTCGGCCAGCTATTGACAACTTTGTGGCCTCAACGAGGACTCGACGACCTTTAGCGTGGAATATTTTTTGGCAGTCAACGGAAAAATGGTATCTGCAAAAGTTCGTCTGACCACTTCGCGGAACGGAATCACTGTTTTATACCATCACCCATGTAACATGTTGATGCTATTTCTATTATCGTCAGAAGACTGTTGTTCATCGAATACGAATATAATGCTGGAATTAAACAATTTTTATAATGTTTTTCTTATTAGGGTCCCATGGAGCACAGTGCATTCTCTGTTCGAGTTTTTTTTTGTTATTGCTGCTGGAATATTGCTACATATCTTTCCCCGCGCGTCCACTCTCCCATTTCTCGGCGTGATTATCAGCCCAATTACGCAACTAACGGGATCACATGAATTATTTTGTAAAAAAAAGTATCTCCTCTGTTCCCACATGTTCCGCAGAATGGGAGATGAAGAAGACTTAGTCGTTTGAACGTCACGATTCTGTCCATGTCACACATTTCACGGCTCAATCTCCACTTTCGGAGCCCCTCGCCCCAGATTTATAGTTCCCCTGTTGGTTGCTTTGAGTGGCCATGTCCTGCCGTCATTTCAGGCCATACAATACGTCCTGCTCACACGTACGATAGCGGCACTTGTAGCTGATTTACTACGAACAACTCACTACCCACGTGCACGTGTGTCCGAACTGTTTACGGTTTACGGTGAAAATGAGCACAAACTATACACACATTTGCTTTAATTCAAGAAACCTATTCACTATTTACAATTGAACTTTAAATGGTGTTGTTTGTTTCCGGCCGCTTGGCGTTTTTGTGACTCTGGGCCCAACCCCTTACGTGTGTGTGCACGTGGCGCTGTGAAAACCAGAACTGAAAAGCGGACAGTAATTTTAAAGGGGTCGTGAATGTGAAAAGAAGCCAAACAATTAAATCGGGGCCCTGGCTAAGAGCTGGCGGTGAGGTTAAGGTGGTACTAGTGGCTGGCTGGATAGTTAGGGTTAATGGCAGGTTTAGTCCTATTGGTTATTTTGAGAGTATTTGGCTGCTACAAATTTGCACATGATAAGCCACTTGGTTGAGCTATCCTTCGTGGCCAGGTCGCTTCTGAAGAAATGGCGATATAGCTCAGTGGGCTTTACCTGGTAAAATAAACAAAAATAGTTTAGGTCTGTTAGGGTCAGTGGCAGTACTAGCACTAGTGGCTGTTTGGATAGTTTGCTCGGCTCGTACTTGTGGTTGGTTGGTGAGTTAACGTTAGGGTCAGTGACAGGGTTAAATAGTTGGATAATTTGGGTTATGGTTAGTGGGACGGCTAATACTCGTAGCTAGTTCGGGTTAGGTGTAGGACTAGCGTTCAATTGGCTACTGTGCTCCGTCAACAAACTACTAGCTGCATTAATTTGTAGTCTTTTCAGTACGTACATTAGGATATTTTTATTCAGTTTGCCTGTGTGCTCAAAGTTGCTTGCATAGCTGTGAGAAAGTCAGGGGACACGTTCAAGCCCCGGTGTGATGTTGGTTTAACAATGTGTGTGGGGGGGGGGCAGTAGGCTAGCGGCTAGCGCGCTGCGCTACAAACCCAGCCAGCCGAGTTCGATTCCCACTCCCAACCAACACTGGTGACCATTATCTGAGCTGGTCCTGGGCATCACCTAGGTAGATTCAGCCTCAAATGAGTACCTATTGCGGTGTATAAACATCGCCACTAGGGAGACAAAGGCGGTCGAGCGTGTTGCTAGCCACCCACTCGTGTGCTGTACCGGCGAGATTCTCGCTCACAACACTTGCCCCAACAGTCTGTTAAGGCTATACGGGGGATATTTGTTTTCGTTTGGAGCTGAAAGGGCAATCGATACTATATACACGTTGGGTTTATAAGTTAAATGTTATTCATTCATATATCGATACCCCATTGAAATAATAGAGAAACGAGAGAAAGCAACATTTTATATCAGTCTCTAAATGTCTCCCATCAGTCCCAGTACACTTCTTTTAAATGTTAACACTCGACTGATGCACTTCGTCCAACATAGCCAATGTAATTTGCTTACATGAATGATGTGTAAGCTGAGGTGATATAGATAAGGGTGTCAGAAATAAGTGAGGTATCTATAGATGGATTGCCCTGTGTGTGTATATATATGACCATCATGTTTGCGTTGTCAAAAAAAATGCTGTGGCCTTCAAGTCATTTTTATTCTGTTATAAACATACGAGGCAGAGCCAGTGCAGCAGAAATATAGAGAACGATTCACAACCACTTTAACCAGACATTTGTCACTTTATGCAACCAAAATTCTACAATAACACTGATGTGTTGTGATGGCATGAAGTGCTATATTTTTCCCTGTGCCACGCACATGTTTTCATGATTTTTTGGTGTTACGAATGTACTTTTGTTTCATGTGTCAACATATATTTCTTTCTCTCGGTTTCAGTAGACTTTTAAGTCACACTACTTCATGAGACGGATGATCTTTTAAAAAAAAACTCGGTGATTTCCCCATTGAACGGTATTTTTAAATGGGTCGTAAAAAGTACATAACAAAAGTGATACTAGAACGACCAGGTTTAGAAGGGCAAAACAAACCTGAAATACATGATTCAGATACGTTTCTCGATGAGGTATGGAGACGCATGAGTGGTTGTGTAATGGGAATGTGTAGCAATGCATAAAAAACACCTTACAAACCAAAACATCAAACAGCCTGACACAGCTGAGCGAGGCTCAACCTAATCAGCCATGCAACAATTGAAGACGTGTTTTCATTCAATATTAAAACAAGAGTATGTTTCACGGGCGTCCTCCATCGGGATGTTTGGATAAATTCCATTGATGAATGTTTGCTATGTGGGGAGATGTATATATGTTGAACTTCTTTCGCACCGTACGTAGCCAACCTTGCTAACCAGACGTGCGGGGGAAGGACAGCAAACTAAACGCAAGACCTATGAGGAGGTTATGAGAGTATCCACCACACTTTATCCCACGACACACGACTATGAAGTGCAAGTCCAGTGTGATAACCATTACACCACTGCAGTTTGATAACCCAATAATAACATTGCGAGAGCAATGTCTGTAATACATAAACATAATAAAGCCACTGGCAATTTGTATTATTTAATCCCGCCAAGAGGTGCGGGTGCTTTAAGTAGTTAGAATCGCAATCGGAACTGTTGTCACTTCAAATACTTATACAGGTAGGGGGTTCAGCTCGGCGTATCATTCACCCAGGGTGGGTAAAACAGGTACCATTGTGGGAAGTTAAGACTGCCGAAGAAATTGACTCAACTCTCATCAACCCCCCCACCTACCCCCACGCAAGAGAACGCGGAATCTCCATAATTGGCTCAGAAAAGTAAACAGATGAGCAGTGAACACTGTTTACTTGTATTTTAATCGTACTGAAAACATCCAAATAACACCGTATCGTCATCATCAGCAGCAGCAACATAAGTCATGATCAATCCACTGCTGGACGAAATGTCTCTCTCGTTCTATTGACCCACGCTTCAGCGCACGATGGCCAGTGCGGGTTGGTGGTGATGCGGGGAGACATAATAATAATAATTTATAACCATACTTCACCACGCCGGCCTATGCGACGTGGTGAATGGGGAACGGAAAACCAAACGATAGCGGCGGCGGCGGCGGCGGCGACTTTTGACGGCTCCGCTCGGCACAAACCGAGGTCCAGCGGAAACCTTCCAACCCCTAAACAAAAACAAAGATGGGGAAACGTCATCGGGGGCGGGGGGTGGGGCCCCGGTTACGCCCCTCCCCCCCCTTTTCTTATTTAGAATGACAAACGCCTCCGGGGCAGCAAGTGAGCGCGCGCGTGCGCCCGCTCTCGTGGCGCCGCGTGCCCCAGGGGCGACTCGCGCTTCCGACTTCCGTGCCGGCCACTCGCCGCGGTCTTCTTTGAGGCGGCGCGTTCGGTGGCCTCGCGTCTGTGGCAGCGGCGTCGGCAGCCGGCGTTGGTCGCGTTCACCACCGCGGGTTCGTATCGGGGTTGTTGTTGCTCGCTTTGTATTTGCTCGGCGCCGCGTTGTCGGTATTCCTAGCGGCGGTATTCCTAGCGGCGGCGGCGTCGGAGTCGTTTGACTTCGATTGGCGTTGACGGCGGCTGCGGTTGGCGCGGCTCTCGCTTTGGAGAAGGTGGTGGAGAGCAGCGAGTGAGCGAGACGCCGTCCGCGTTGACGGTGGGCGTTGATGAGCGATGGATTGAGGATCGTGGTTGTTGCCGTGGGACATCTCCTTTGACAGGAGGATTTGGGCGATGCCCCGGCAAGCTTCTTAGGAGGAGGAGGAGTTGGTGGTGGTGGTTTGTGGAGATTCATTCAGCCAGGTTGCGCAACGAATCCGGCGAACAGAGTTCGATTTTTCACTCATCAGTGGTGAATGTCTGATCAGATCGTGGGCCTACCCGAGGTAAACTCGGCCTTAAACCTTTGAAGCAGTGGGGAGACAAAGGCGGCCGAGGCGTGGTTCTGACTACACCCCCTTCAGTGTTCCTTGCTGGCGTTCATAATCGCTAACGGCACTCGTCCCAACAACCTGTCAAGGATGTCTGGCGAATCTTTTGGTGGAGGTGGTGGTGTGGGATAACTGTGTGCGATATCTTATAAAGTTCGGGATACCCCCAGAGTTGGGGAGTCCTAGCATAGAGAGCGACTTTGGGAGAGAGACACAGCCATGGAGTAATATCCAGAGAAGACACGGAGACACGGGGAGACGCGGAGAGAGATTGACGGCAGGCAGAGATCCAGACATACCCATCGAGACTTAAGTCACAAAGATGGACCACAGACACTCGAAGAGACGCATGCACCTTCACCTTACGATACACACCTTCATATAACGACGACACACACACAGGCATTCAGAGACACACAAAGAGAGAAAGAGAAACGGCGAGACACGGATAATGTTGTCGGCCTCTAATTAAGCGTGAATGCACATGTACACCTGGCACTCATGGTGATGATAATAGCCATATTTATGTCAGTTACGCGGCTTGGCGTGTCTTTAATGAAGCCATAAAACACGCAAATGCCTTAATTCCCTTCCCCTAAAGACTGCATGCAGCATTTCCTAGACCTCCGATGAGCACGGTTGGCTGGCTACGTACGGTGCGAAGTTCACGGAGTACATTCATACGGCATTTGTGTTTACCCCTTTCGAATGCAAGTGAATCGTAGTCGGGAAAACACCGAGTGGATCAAAACAGTGGAGCTGAGATGCTTGTGGAGTTTGTAAACGCCTGTTATCGAATTTAGAATGGCTAGAGATTCTTTTGCTTGTGGCATCCGTCGAGATCGAACGTCTTCCTGATGATTTGGCACAAGTTGGATTGAGCTTGGATTATTCTTGTATGGGTGACCACTATCCATAAATGAGGCTACTGTGTTCTACGTTGTGAACAGCAGAGGCAGTGCAGCATAATCCATTGTTGTATTGCACTTCTACGCTCTCATGTGGTTGCATCCTATATCCACCAAACCGGACTGATATCGTGAATACTCTTTGGTTCTATTCGGTAAAGTCACGTAGGTAAAAAATAAAACAACAAAAATCACGACGTTTCGGCCAAAACACAAGCGGCCTTCATCAGGTGAAGGGACCAGACTGTCTCGAAGACTGCGCTGGAGTGAAACAGAGCCAAGCTCAGACCACGGGGTCTGGTCCCTTCACTTGATGAAGGCCGCTTGTGTTGTGGCCGAAACGTGATTTTTGTTTTATTTTTTACCTACATGACTTTACCGAATAGAACCAAAGAGTATGGATCCTTGCAGTCACGAAAGCTTCAAATCTAGAATGGATATCGTGAAGTATGGTAAAGTAAAATTTTGATTTAAAGCTTTCGTGACTGCAGGGATTCATATTCTTGGTTCTTTTGGTAAAGTCACGTAGAAGGGAAATAATAAAAATATAAAACAATAAAATTCTCACGACGTTTCGACTGCAACACAAGCAATCATCATCAGGTGTGAAAACCACAGCAAGAAAATTTGAAAAAAGTGGCAGTTATTTTTAACGTTAGCACCACGGAGAGCGATTTGGAAGTTATTCAGATGGACGAGTCCATCTATGTTCGGAAAAGAGGAGGGGAGAGACGAAAATAATGGATGCGGTCTGAAAGCCACCGTAAGCGTGAACAATCAATTAAGACCCGAAATGGTTTATCAAATGCTTCCAATGATTGCTAAGCCAGAATCCATCTTCTCGGTTGAAATTGTCTGTGTTTGTATACAGTGAGGGAAACAAGTATTTGATCCCCTGCTGATTTTGTACGTTTGCCCACTTACAAAGTCTATAATTTAAATGGTAGGTTTATTTGAACAGTGAGATACAGAATGACAACAAAAAAATCCGGAAAAACGCATGTCAAAAAATGTTATAAATTGATTTGCATTTTAATGAGGGAACTAAGTATTTGACCCCCTGAATCAGAAAGATTTCTGGCTCCCAGGTGTCTTTTATACAGGTAACGAGCTGAGATTAGGAGCACACTCTTAAAGGGAGCAATCAATCAGATTCCAAACTCTCCACCATGGCCAAGACCAAAGGGCTCTCCAAGGATGTCAGGGATAATATTGTAGACCTACACAAGGCTGGAATGGGCTACAAGACCATTGCCAAGCAGCTTGGTGAGAAGGTGACAACAGTTGGTGCGATTATTCGCAAATGGAAGAAACACAAAAGAACTGTCAATCTCCCTCGGCCTGGGGCTCCATGCAAGATCTCACCTCGTGGAGTTGCAATGATCATGAGAACGGTGAGGAATCAGCCCAGAACTACACGGGAGGATCTTGTCAATGATCTCAAGGCAGCTGGGACCATAGTCACCAAGAAAACAATTGGTAACACACTATGCTGTGAAGGACTGAAATCCTGCAGCGCCCGCAGGGTCCCCCAGCTCAAGAAAGCACATACATGCCCGTCTGAAGTTTGCCAGTGAACATCTGAATGATTCAAAGGACAACTGGGTGAAAGTGTTGTGGTCAGATGAGACCAAAATGGAGCTCTTTGGCATCAACTCAACTCGCCGTGTTTGGAGGAGGAGAAATGCTGCCTATGACCCCAAGAACACAGTTTCAGTTTTTTTCAGTTTTCATTTATTTGGCATAGCCCTGTGAGCCATTCGGCTCTTGAATCGGGTGCAACCGCAACAAACAAAAAACATGAACAATTAAACATCTTAAGTGGCTATGTGACTGTGCAAACAGAAAATCCAGGAAAAAAACAGCAAAATATTCCTGAAAAAGCACCATACACCAACGCTGTGTGCAAAAAACCCAGTGGGATGCAAGTCAAACAACAACCACAAGACAACTTAGATTAAGGGCATCAGTCTAACTCCGTACTACAACAAACAAACATGGCCAAACCAAAAAACTTTTCGACATCACAAAAATAAAGCCATAAAAGCAATGTAACAGTGATCATAGGAACTGTGACCGAATTTTCACAATAAACGACATAAACAACATGTAACACCAAACCCTAGAGCTATAGCTGGCTGCATGAGTCACTCCACAACAACAGGAGCATCAGTCGGAGTATCAATTTTTTCAATGCACCTTTAAGATCAGCACACTAAATCTAAATACAGATCATACTTTGCAGCAGTCATCTGGAGCGAAACATTTTATTTTATTTTAGGCCACTGAATAGCAGTGGCAGCTAGGGGTGTACAACTCCTCTAGAGCAGTTTTGAGTGAAGATCGCATAGGTAGTGATTCAAGTTGCAGTTTATTGGCAATAGCATTCCAGACCCTGGGGGCATCAATAGCAAAGGCCCTTCCTCCAGTTTTTGTACGGCAATAGGGAATGTGAAGCTGGTAAATGAGCGAAGACCTGAGGTCAAATTTGTTCTCTGAAACAGAGAGGAGATCCAGTAGGTAGTCTGCAGATTTTTTAGTAAGTACATCGTGAATAAATAAGGTCTGGTGCACAAGCCGTCGAACATTAAGAGATGTTAAGTTGACCCAATGTAGAGATCACAGTGGTGAGTCCTATATGGGCAGTTCAATGCAAATCTTAAGGCCGAGTGATATATGGAATCAAGCTTCTTCAGTACAGTACTTGGGGCTGATTTATACACGATGTCACAGTAATCCACTAGAGGCAGTATGGTAGCTTTTATCAATTCCAAACGGAACATAGGGGGTTGGCAGTGCTTGTGTCGATACAGAAAACCAATTTTTATTTTTGTCTTTTCACCAATATAATCAAAGTGATCTTAAAAATTCAGTTTTGATTCCAGGATGACCCCAATAAACTTATAGATCTTGACTTGCTCTATTTGATAATTATTTAAGGAATGTAATTGGGGAAAAATAATTTCCTGCTTTAGTCCTGGTGAGAAGCATAGCACCTTGGTTTTGGAGGTATTCAGGACTAGTTTAAGAGCAACTAGCTAATGTTGTAGTTTGTTGAAATCACCCTGGAGCTTAGCAATCACGTCATCCGGAGAGCACCATCCCCACCGTCAAACATGTAGGTGGAAACATTATGCTTTGGGGGTGTTTTTCTGCTAAGGGGACAGGACAACTTCACCGCATCAAAGGGACGATGGACGGGGCCATGTACCGTCAAATCTTGGGTGAGAAGCTCCTTCCCTCAGCCAGGGCATTGAAAATGGGTCGTGGATTGGTATTCCAGCATGACAATGACCCAAAACACACGGCCAAGGCAACAAAGGAGTGGCTCAAGAAGAAGCACATTAAGGTCCTGGAGGGGCCTAGCCCGTCTCCAGACCTTAATCCCACAGAAAATCTGTGGAGGGAGCTGAAGGTTCGAGTTGCCAAACGTCAGCCTCGAAACCTGAATGACTTGGAGAAGATCTGCAAAGAGGAGTGGGACAAAATCCCTCCTGAGATGTGTGCAAACCTGGTGGCCAACTGCAAGAAACGTCTGACCTCTGTGATTGCTAACAAGGGTTTTGCCACCAAGTACTAAGTCATGTTTTGCAGAGGGGTCAAATAATTATTTCCCTCATTAAAATGCAAATCAATTTATAACATTTTTGACATGCGTTTTTCTGGATTTTGTTGTTATTTTGGCTCTCACTGTTCAAATAAACCTACCATTAAAATTATAGACTGATCATTTCTTTGTCAGTGGGCAAACGTACAAAATCAGCAGGGGATCAAATATTTTTTCCCTCACTGTATACAAACACAGAGACAATTTCAACCGAGAAGATGGATTCTGGCTTAGCAATCATTGGAAGGATTTGATAAACCATTTCAGGTCTTAATTGATTGTTCACGCTTACGGTGGCTTTCAGACCGCATCCATTATTTTCGTCTTCCCCCTCCTCTTCCGAACATAGATGGACTCGTCCATCTGAATAACTGCCAAATCGCTCTCCGTGGTTCTAACGTTAAAAAAACCGCCACTTTTTTCAAATTTTCTTGCTGTGGTTTTCACACCTGATGATTATTGCTTGTGTTGCAGTCGAAACGTCGTGAGAATTAAATTGTTTTATATTTTAAATATTTTATTGTTTCCCTTCTACATGACTTTACCAAAAGAACCAAGAATATGGTAAAGTTACCCTCACTTGTATTTTGTTCATATGCCAATGTGTCTTCATGTGTATCTGTGTGTTTATATAGGGTGGAGCAGTGGTTAGTGTGCTGCGCTACGGACCCAGCTTCCAGAGTTCAATGCCAGCTCATGGCCAACACTAGTGACAATTATCTGAACCGGTCATGGGCCTCCTCTAAGTTGACTCGGCCTCAAATTATTACCTGATGCGATGTGTAAACATTTCCACTACAGAGACAAAGGCCGTCGGGCAGAGTGCTGGCCACCCACCACCTTCATAGGTGCTCGCAAACAGTACTTACCCTAAAAGTCTTGTTAACGCTATACGGGGGATATTTGGCTTTGTATATGCCAGCGTGAATGTTTATATCTCATTGTGTGGGCACATATATAGCTTTGTGTTTTTAATATCTATGAGTAATATCTGTGAGTTTTCCCAGTCTGTATTTTATGCATTCATATTGCAGTGTGCATTGATGTACCAGCTCATGCATGTGGTTTTGTCACACACTGTCACACAAAGGAGATGACAAGAAACGTGTTTGCGTTTCCTGAACACGAGTATTGTGTGGAATGCTTTGTGGTCACAAGCATGCATTATTGGCTGTGCTTGAGTGTTTATGCATGTTCATAGATTCTGCATAGTTGTGTCCTGGTATTGTGTCTGCACGCATGACCTGTGAGGTGTAATTCCATGCAGTGCATTGCTGTGTGGGTGGCTGTATGGGCAGTGCCTAGTCTATTCATCCGAACGGGCACCATCCACATTTCTTTTGAGTTATTTTTAGCTGCCCCTTGTGCTGTAAAGGACAGGAGATATAAATTCTGCACAAGCAACGCGGTTTTATCTGGCCTAATCTGAAGTGCTAATGAATAACCCGTTTTGTAAATCTTTAATTGCAGTAATGCAGCATTGATGGTTGTCATTTTTCAAAAACACGACCAGAAGTTTCCTTGATCCACGATTGTGGCTCTGTGATTCTCAAGTTGGCCTTCGCTATAGCAATGTGAAGTATGCACCACTAGATCAGGGCTGGAAACAGCTGGATGGAACACGAAGATGTTTTCTGACTTTTTGAATTCTTAGGTGCACTGTTGAGGTCTTACAGCTACAAAACCTACCATTTAAAATATAATAGGCAATGTTAATGGCACAGTTAACTGTTGCCTTTAGCACTCGGCTTAATTCACTAACTTTACATACGTAGACTGTGAAGTACACAGCGTTCAGTGTAGAGGTACAAGCATAAACTATTTTTAAATAAACGATCACAAAGAGGTGTTTCAACAATGTAAATGTGCAGGGGTAGTGGTGGTGGTGCAGTGGTTAGCTCACTGTACTATGAACCAAACAACTGGAATTCCATCCCTAGCTATGACTTGCAATGACAAGTCGTATCTAAACTGGTTGAGTGGTTTTTAAGCTGGTTCTGGGTTCCCCCCCCCTCCCTCACTTCACTAACCAGTATTGTTATTGTACATGCGCAAGAGCAATCGCACGCACCGCAAAGGTCTCGTTCTCTTAACACCACCTTCACCTACACCAACGTCCAGAACCGTTCTCCAAATGTGTATTAAACCTCTGCATATTCAGTGGCTAAATCCGCGTGTCGTTCTTCCCCCTGCAGTGCAGAATCATGGCTGGACCTCGCCCCGTGGTACTGAGCGGACCCTCGGGCTGTGGGAAAAGCACCCTCATCAAGAAGCTCATGTCCGAGTTTGAGGGCGTGTTTGGCCTCAGTGTGTCACGTAAGGACATCACAATACACCGCTCAGCTCAGGTTGGAGCATGCCAGCTCACTCTTTCATGTGTGATAACAGCAAGCTGGCAGCCAGCATCACTTTGGATTGTGGATGATAGTGACAAGTGACATGTTCAGCCACATTTGTAAGGGCACTGAGGACAGAATAAATGTTTGTTCTGTGGACTGTCATAGTGATTTGAAAAGTTATGTCAACAATACCTTCTCTCTTTTTCAGACACTACAAGGAATCCAAGGCCTGGAGAAGTAACTGGGAAAGGTAATTGCGGATTGAAAACAGAAATAATGTTTCCAGCCAGGAAAAACAGCTTACTGCAACAGTCTTGCATAAAATGAAATATAAAAATGTGCCACTTGTTACAGAGAAAAACAACGTGATTGTGTTTTCCACTAACTGGGTATATGAGCATCAAACATCATTGTCAAGCATGCAATAAGTTGTCTATCTGTGTGAGAGTCAATATTGCAAATAATTAGCCTGGGTGTTTGTGCAGATTACCACTTTGTGACCCGTGAAGAGATGCTACGTCTCATTGCCGCGAGGGAGTTCATCGAGCACGCTGAGTACTCGGGAAACCTCTACGGCACCAGGTCTCATCTTGCCTTTAGCTAATTGTATTATACTGCGCTTGTCGTAATATGACCTTCAAGTGACCTTTGTTGTGCTCATAATTTTTAAAGATCATGTCATCACAACATATTGCAGCACACCCAGGACCAAGAAGTGCTCTCTTGCCACCGAAAGGCTAATTGTTTCCTGTGTATTGAGCACACAAAGCTTCATAAAAATGCTGTATTGAAAAAAGTTATTTGTTTTGTGGTATGAGCATTACATTTGTGTGCCACAAAATGTGAAATATGCATCCTTCGTGAATGCAAAGAGGCATGCTACTTCAGGGGTGCACAACTTACAGCATGTGGAACCAACCTGCGGCGTGGTTTTGAATGGGGTCCGTAAGTACTCGAGATATTGCGAATGCTCACTGAATAATGCTCTTGTTTGCAAACGTAACGTCGCTCGATAATGGGGCATGACGTTCGCTAGGTTTCAATGTAACACTCTTTACCCATGGGTAGTCGAGAGATTCCCTTTGTGGCACATGCCTTAAAATTACTATGGACCCTTGGTCTAGTTAATATTTTTAATCAGTTAATGGCTTGTATAAAGTAGCATGTGAAATTACATGAATGCAAAATATTTCTGCAATCTTGTCATGTAGTAAGTCTGCAGTGAGGGCAGTGCTGGACAAGAACCAGATTTGCATCCTGGACATAGACATGCAAGGAGTGCACAGCATGAAGAAGACTGACCTCAATCCCCTCTACATCTCCATCCAGCCACCATCCATCACCATCCTGGTACGTGCATTGCCCATGCCACTGGGCCGTATGCTGTACTCAAAGAAGAGTCGAAAATTAAGGTTTAAAGCATGAAGGCAGCAGCTTTGTCCATCTTTCTGCTTGTCCATCTGCATGCTTATGTTTAACATGGAGTCACAATTACTCTGGTAACTATTCAATATTATAAAATATGAAGTTGTGTATTTGGCACTTACTCTACAGAAAACCAGCCAAACTAATTAAAGGATTGCCAAAAACTTGATAAAAAAAAACTTTAATTGAGCAGATAAGCCTTTTCAGCTCGAGTAATGAATTGACACCATGTACACACGTTGCCTCCCCACGACCCCATTACGTGTGATGTCATTTCGCCATGCGGCTTGGAAGGTTATTACACTATATGAAGGCATGCATTTTGGAATCTGTGCGCATGTATGACTTATCTTCGACGTTATAATTTATCTTCACGAGGCTCAAACCGGTAAATCCGGTAAAACCTGCTGCATGCCGACTTTACAGGAGGAGCGACTGCGTCTCCGGAAGACTGAGAATGACGACAGTCTCAAGAGGAGGTTGAAGGCGGCCAAGAAAGAGATCGAATTCAGTCAGTGCCGATTCCCGTCCATGACTATTGATCGCCGTACCTTGAGCTGAGCTTCAGGGGCATTTTGTGTTGACATTCCTACCCACGGAGCAATGCAGCTGCATTCCTTTCTACACCCATATATGTAGATTGAATCGATTTTGAATCGATCCATCTCTTGTGTAATAATTCCTGGAAAGTGATTCTTGTGTCTTGACTGGATTTTCATCACTAGTGTTTTTTTGTTACCACGAGCCAACCTTGCAAGTCAGCTTGTTTCCACTTGGTTTGTTGATTTTTCACATGCCACATGTTTACTTTGCTCTACACAGGATGCATGCATATCCTCAACTGATTTTATTTTCAGGTAAGGAGCCAGGAGCCTTTGATGCAATAGTAGTGAATGATGAACTACAAGAGGCTTATGCACAACTTAAGGAACTTGTCAAAAAGGTATTCCTCTCATTTTAAACTTGTTATCCATAACCAGTGAGATGTGGTTGCATTACTAGCTGGTTACCAGAAGATGTTGTTACTCTTTGTGGCAATGAAAGGTGGTAAAGGTAAAGGTGCAGCCCTGCAATTACTCGCAACACTGACAGAAAAGTTCCACCTGCAGGGTATTTGGTCTACTCTACCACACTGGCCACACTTTGTCCAACCACACGCAAACTGACATTCCCAGTTTATACTTTTGGGAGATATAATCGAACAGGCAATCTCTGCATTGCAAGTCCATTGCGTTAACCATCACACCACGGCAGCATCGCAATGTGCCTATGAACGCTGATTAATTTTCTGTTCCCACCCCCGTCCCCTGCAGGAGATCGCAAAGGTGCAGAATGCCCATGGCTAGAGGCGCATGGCGTGAAGAGGATGAGTGTACGTGCTGGGTTGGCGTGAAGCCTTAGGGAAAGTAACGTACTTACGTTACTGCATTGGCTTCATGGCTGCCATCGTGTGCCCCCTCTCGCTTGTTTCAATCATATCATGTAGTCTTCAATGTTTTATTGAGAGCCTTTCTAATCTGTATACAGGAGAAGCTGAATATATTAGCCCATTATTTAGGAGCAAAGCCAGCTGTGCTCATATTCGAAGTCGTGCTTGTATCAGAAGTCACCCTTTGCCTCCCATCACCAGTTTAATGTAAGCATGTGTTCCTTTTAAGGTGTGATTTATATCCAGCTTCTACGGTATTTCAATAAGGGCGCATTTCTCTCCATGTAATAATCTCCCTTGCATTCCTGCACTTGGTATAGCTGTTTAGTTGTTTTGCACACCACATTAAAAGTAAAAGGTTTACATTTTGAAGTATAAAAAAATAAGCTGTTATAATTTAGATGACAGCTGGGTTATTTCAGTTTACTTGAATAATCTTATGGGTAGGTCCTATAGTTAAACCTGCTGCTGTCACAATTTATTTTCCTGCATTGGTGAAATTGGACCTCATCGTTTGTTTGTAAAATTCATATCAAAAGCGATTTCAAATCACATTTTCCCACGGCTAACAGTTATGATAGGTGTAGCGTACTTGTCACATATTCCCACTGCTTGCACATCGCTATATGTTTTACAGCCAGCCGAAGCAGTTTGATAAAACATTTTAGTCGATACAGTGACAAACATCCAGCAGTTGAACCAGTGGGGTTGTGGATGTCGTGTGCTTATTTTCTTTGTGTTAGTTTCGTAATTTTTCACAATTTTATGCCAATTCTCTCTGCATCGCATCACGATACAAAGTGTCCACTATCCAAATCGCATCACGAAGTGAAGTGTCCTCAGCATTGTCGTGCTCTGATTGAAAGTGCAGTGTATCATGAACTGCGCTGATCCACGGAATATAATGTTACCTCTACTTATCGAAGTTAGATATATACAGTACACATACATATTACAGGTACCCCTCTATTTACGAAAGGGATGCGCTCAAAAAACACGCGCAAAACGAAATTCTGTAAATCGGAATGGCTTTTCACATTAATTTAATACTAAAAATTTGGGATGTGTTTCTGACAGTCATTCCAACTCACTCATAACCTCAAAATGTACACATATCACGTCACAATACAACAATGATAAATGATAAAGAACATACATAATAAAAAATATTAATACATTTTAAGCAAAAATAATTAACCTTTTCAGGGAACTCTCTAAAAGAATGAATGACTAGAAAGGTGACGTGGCGGCATTACTGTTGCACTGTAGGTTTAACGTGACACTGCCGTGGATGGATGACGCAGCTCCCGGGTGGTTTTTCTTTGATGTCATGTCGCGTGCCGTATGAATGTATTCATTTCATGGAAATTCGATTTCGTGAATCAAAGTGTCCATAATTTGTGAATTGCGCTTACACAATTTCGTAAACCCAACGTTTGTAAATCGAGGGATACCTGTAGCACAAGGGATGTATTGTCAGAATGGGAACATTGGAATAGAAATGCTAAATAACGTAGAATCCTTCAGTTTTTCTCTTCGAGTTGGACTCTCCGCGTGTTACATAATCACGTGTGCACGTGTAAGTGTTATACGTTAAAGGCTGGATCGTAATGTATCGTAGCCTTACATTCCTTGGCTTGATTGATCTGTGTTTTGCTTATTTGCTCCCCGTGCATCCATGTTGATTGCATTGTCAAGGGAACAGCGGGACAGCAGTAAGTCCTCAACTGCCATTGCAATTGTGATGCAGATGAGGCTGAATGATTTACATGTTGATTTTTCACTTTTTTATGGTTATTTTTAAAGTACAAATTGCATGGCATATTTTTTTGTATTAACCTTTGTGGGTAATACAATATCATTTTTCTGGTTTGTTTTTAAGCTGGTACTAATGTTTCTGGATTTATTTTGTAATAGAGATGCCCGTTAATGTGCCTTTGTCTCACTGGTTGCTTATGCACATTAACTTTGTTTTTCAGTCTGTACAACATATCTATCAACAATGGGAAAGGCATTTTAAGTAACATAAAAATCCCTTGTTTTTCTAACTCGTGAGTCTTGAACTTTTCTTCTCAGAAGTGACCTGTGCATGGATATTAGATGTATATATTTATATGCTGCACAGACAGCGTTGCAACTTGGTGACTGTAATGAAAGTGCCATTTAATTTATGGTGAGCTTAAATAATTAGTCGTTCATACATGCATTTTTCTTGGCCATATCTTGTCAGTGCTCTGCAAGATGAAGCCATCCCATGCTGGAGGATTGTTTGACCATACTTTACCATTATTATCAGTACTGCTTACAGGTTGGAGAAGGTGGAGGGGCATCCAGGACTGGTTCAGATATCACCACTCATAAGCCATGGCCAATAAAACACAGGTCGCTGGGTTCATAGGGCAGTGCAGTGCACTAATCACTGCACTCCACTCCGTCTATACATGTTCTCAATCTAGTATGCAGCAGCTACAGATAGTATTTAACATGTACAACCGTGCACTGATAGGATTTAATCATCACTAAGACAAAACATGATGAGTGAGTCTGCCTCTTTCGTAAGCTGCTCTTGAACAAAGACTTTTGAGGGGACCTTGCAATTGAATGGTAAATGTAAGGCCAATTTGACAGCAGCAAATAGCAACCAGATTTTCAGGCAAACCTCAATTGTTCATGGAGCCCGCCTCCTCTCAAGAGACTTTGAAGCAGCTGTGAAAGAAAAGGTCACGATGCACGAGATAAATAGACAATGAAGCGTTATACGCCGTTCTCAACGTGGGCGCCGCTCCGTGCAAAGGTTTGCAGGCAGTGCAAATATACCGGAGTCTATGGGCGGGAGGGCCCAGGCGCCGGGTTATGAAGAGGCGGGGGGGGGGGCATTGGACTGCGGTCTTTATTTCATCCCTTGCATCATCGGGTCCACACCTCCTTCGCCAGGTGTGACGCAGTCTGTAATGCCACCCTGACATCAACGCAGCTCGTCATCCTGCCACAGCCATCTCGGTAGTGCAGTGGTCGAAGCCCTTGGCTCGTTAATTCGGAAGGTTATGATTTTCATATTCCATGTTGGACCTCAACTCAGCCCATGAACCATCTGGGTCCAAATAAACTCCCAGTTCGTCAATTATTTGTTTTATTATATGGCAAGGCTGGCCACTGCCACATGAATGTAGAATTTCCATACTGGCTTGGGGCTGCTATCAGAGATGAGTGATGCCTCGTTGCTCGTTTGTGTTCCTGACTTCATGATTAATCCGTCACGAGCGAAATATAATGCTTGTTCCATTTTGCTTCCAACATAATTAAAACATGTATTTATTTTGTATGCTTTTTTCTACTAATTTTATTCACATTGCTTTAAAACAGCACTTTTTTTTTATATTACACAATTATACAAAGGTTATTCCAAAACCCTCGTCTCCCGAGACATGACGGTAACTTTAGTTCTTCAGCAAATTATCGCTTTTCTTGGAAATAACAAGCGTCACGCACGTTAATTAAAACATATTAATTATACACAGCCTTCATCTTGTGGCACCACCCTTGGCCAGGGCTGGATTTAGACATTTTATCCTCTGGGACGCTCTGGCAGAAAAGACCACCCCCGGCTCCTCCACGTAGACACACAAAATACCACCTTAATGAAGGCAATATTGTTTATATCCTTAATTTTAAAAACAATACTATGAATAAACAGTCCTTTTTTTGTTCATAGAAAATTGTAACGATATATGGAGTTTTGGGCCCTGGATAAATCTCCACCCCACCCCCCTTCCCAAATCTGGCCTTGCCCATGGCAATCTACGGTGGGTGGCTTAACATTCACCTCTGCGCCACAAGCACGTAGTGTGTATTTAACCAGCACCGCCCATAGCCGGCATGCGTCCCAGTGGAAGAGAAACCACCTGAGCTCGACCCGTGCAACACAGCACGCCCCCCATCGTGGGAGAGGCGGAGACATTGATGCCCGCCAGGCCACGGCTGTCTCTTTAAATCAGGGGTGGGGAACCTTTTTTTCTGCCAAGGGCCCTTTGGATATTTATAACATCGTTCGCGGGCCATACAAAATCATCAACTTAAGAATTAGCCTGTTACATTTGGTCAAACATTTAATTAACTCACCCCTAATGCGATGGCTGGAACTGCTTCTCTTTGGTGAGGCATGCGATGTTAGCTGGTATTGATGATGTTGCTACTCGCAACTGCTTTTCCAGGTTTGCTCCTATATTTATTGAATTTCGAGTCCCGCCTGCGGTTGCCTTGGCAGGGCCAGACCAAATGATTTCGCGGGCCTTATATTGCCCGCGGGCCGGACGTTCCCCACCCCTGCTTTAAATGAACACGTAACACCCCACCGCCCGTCCAGACCGGCGATCACACAATTCCCGTAGTAGTAGGAGTATGAACACAGCAATTACTGCTTTAGACTAAACTTTAAAATGTACTTCATGACATCCATGTACACACTTCAAATGTGTAATAATAATTTAAGGCCATGCCATGTCAGTTATGGATGTTGTTTGACCATACTTCACTACGCTGGTTAGTGCCGGTGCTGGTTGGTGCAAGGTTGAGATGGGGGGGGGGGGTGCAAGCAGGATCTGTACGATCATGGCCGGGGATTGAATTTAGGGTGCCGAGTTTATAGCATGGTGCGTACACCGCTTGGCCACAGCTCGACTCAGATGTGTAAAGGATCAGTAACAAGAACCCCTTAAAAGGCACATGGTGCGGGCTAAGCACGCAGCGCGTGCGTTCATGGCTCTCTCTGCATAACGCGGGGATCAGCGGGTGATGTGGGTGGAGGAGAAGATGTGAATCATTGTTGTTGGGGGGTGGAGGGTGTATGGTTACCCATGTAAAAATGTGGCATCATGCCCCTCTGCTATTATTTCTGAGAATTGAGGGGAGCAGTAGCCTTGTCCAAAGATTCCTGTTCGTTGCAGGGGAGCTAACCAGACGTGGCTATGTTTTTTTGACAGCCTCGTGGAAGCTACAGTGTTTTGGCAGCTGGCTGTGTGACAGAGAATTGTCGCCCGGCGTAATCTCCATCGTGGGGCAGTGAGAGCGTCGGCAGAGTGAGCGGTGCAGTCGGCATTTTCTACGAGTTGCTCCCGCTCCAAATAATCCCCCCTGGGTGCACTAACAGCTCAGGGCATGTAATGGTGCGCCGATTCATCAGTTAAAACCGACGTTTACCCTCGCGATACACCTCAAGTCGTGTGCGTGAGAATTACATCACGGTTTGTAAAAGCCGTATGCAAACGATATGCGAATGGTACATTCAAGCTAAATGAGCGAACCCAACTGTTACGAATGAGATGGGGGGGGGGAATAGAAATAATAAAAACTAGATACAAAAACTGGTAAAGACAATCGAATTAGCATGAGGGGTGGGTGGGGGGGGGTTGGTGAATCGTTAGGGGCCATCCATTGAGTAGGTACGCAAAAATATGTCAAAACTTCTCCCCCCCCCCTCCCTGTACGCAGGCGTACTCTTTACACCCCCCCCCCCCCCGAATCCTATAGAACGGCCGATATTTAATCCACGCAGAAACGATCAAGGATTTTTAATAATATGAACGTGTTTAAGCAAACAGATAGTCCACCGCCGGACTATCTAACTCATTTGAAGGCCAATGTAGACAAATTATAATCGAGGCTTTACCTCCCCCCCCCCCCCCGTTTTTTATGCGTACGCACATTGTCAGTAGACCCCTCCCCATACGTAAGCGTACGCATTTGGGTCAACCCCCCCTCCATGCGTACGCACTGAATGTATGGCCCCTTACTTGACTGCTGTGAACGACAGTATGCGGTTTGTGCTGCAGGCCGGATGCTGAGAGGAGGGCCCCCCTCTAGGGGCGGCCCCACATTAAGGCGCGTTTTGGGGCACGGTCCGGGGAGGGGGGGGGGGTCACTGCGAGGGCAGAGGGGGCGATCCCTGCCGGTCAAACTCCCCAGCGGGGCTGCGCAGCTCCCCCACAACCACACCGTGCACCCGTGCCACGCAGTTTATTAATACAGCACTCGAGTCGAGACTCCCAGAGGTCATGGTTTAGACTTTATAAATGTTGGGCTCGACTTTAGCGGTCCTCATCTCTGTTCTAGAGGTCCTGGTCGAGGCACTAGAGATCCCAGTCTCTGCTGTAGAGGTCATAGACTATCGAGATCCTGGTCCAGATTCTGGATGTCCTGGTTTATGCCATTAGAGATCCTGGTCTAGACTCTGGAGATCCCTAGACATGCCCTACAGGTCCTGGCCTTGGTTCTGTAGCTCCTTCCTCTGGCCCTGAGTCTGGGCCGCCGTGGGCCCCACATTCTGCCGCGTGGCGACACGGCGCCGCCGCTCCTCCTCAGCACGAATGAAGGTGCGGAGCGCCCGGGACGGGAAGAGCAACGAGGAGCGACGCGAGCGACTCACGGGGTCATCCTGCAGCCACGGCGCTGCCAGGCACTCGGGCGAAGTGGGACGGCTCCTGCAACGCAGCGACAATGCACCATGTACACACGCCGCACTTTTGTCGGCCGGGTCGTGGGGGTTGTTTTGTCGACACTTCAAGCCTGCCGGTCAGTGCAGACCGCTAAAGGCGGAGAGCAAACGCGTTGGAGCATAGAAAGTTTAAGAAAACAATGGGCTTTGCTGCACTGCCCTCTGCTGACGTAACTTATGCATTCGCACGTTTACGCTCCCTCGCCTTCACCAACCCGCACTGATCAGCGCGGCCACAGTACGGTCTAATAACCCCCACGAGCTAAACGGTGTGAGAAGACCCTAATCCACTCATCCGGCAGTGGATTGACAAAAGAACTATGCAAGCATATGAACGCACACGGGCAGCAACTCGTGACTCACACGGGGTTTAGGAGGAGTATGTTCTTGAGGAAGAGTACCGCGTTCCTCGACACCTTCGAGTAGCAGCTGCCGAAGTTGACCTCTGCCCTGCGGATGTTGGCGCACGTCTGCTCGACGCTCGGCGCCAGGAACGGATGCCCGCCGCTGAGTCTGCCGTCCGCACCGAGCACCCACACACAGCAGTGGGCACCGGTAAAGCACGCACACTACGGGTCCCACCACCGTCGGTTGCGGCTTGTGTGCCGTACATAGCAGCAGCATCATGGATTTCGCACATAAAAAGGCAACCTAGACAATAATCATCTCGCCCTGACTCTGCCACAGCCCTATCGCTGATTGAGTATTTTATAAACTCTCCAGGGTTATCCGAGTCACTCTCACTTACGGATGAGAGTTGGAGGTTAGGGCCGCATTGTGGGTTGCTGTGTGGTACGTACACGATAAATGTGATGACGCCCAGACCCCAAATATCTGCAGGGGTGCTGAACGCTCCTCCCTTTATCACCTCCGGGGCTGGAGGCAGAGGAAGGTGGTGGGGTGGTACAATTGGGGTCAGGGTAGGGAAGAGAGAGCAGTAAAACCACAATAGTTACAGGACGCAGAGATAAAATGTCAGTCCCACTTGAGGTATCATCGTCTGCTGGATGACAGCCTTCTCAAGACATGGCAATTTCGCACAGTCTTGTGATGCAACAATCCATCTAGCTCCTGCACTAGAAGGGGGTTCATTGCTCCATCTCCGTGGTGGCATCATCTCAGACGTGATCCTTTGGCTCAACCACCAGTCATCATCCCTTCTCGCAACGCATCCTGCCAAAGCCCAATTACTTATGCGTAAGAGTCAGTGTTATATCTCTAACTTGTGCATGTTTTCTGATACGGGTGTCCTTCTTTCTCCCAGCCACTCAGTCAACCATCCACAAAGTCATCCAGTCACCCATCTACTCAGCCACCCAACCACCCAACCACCCATCTACTCAGCCACCCATCTACTCAGCCACCCAGCCACCCATCTACTCAGCCACACAGCCACACATCTACTCAGCCACCCAGCCACCCATCTGTTCAGCCACCCATCTACTCAGCCACCCATCTACTCAGCCACCCATCTACTCAGCCACTCAGTCACCCATCTATTCAGCCACCCAGCCACCCATCTACTCAGCCACCCAGCCACCCATCTACTCAGCCATTAGCCACCCATTTATTCAGCCACCCAGCCACCCATCTACTCAGCCACCCATCTACTCAGCCACCCAGCCACCCATCTATTCAGCCACCCAGCCACCCATCTACTCAGCCACCCAGCCACCCATCTACTCAGCCACCCAGCCACCCATCTATTCAGCCACCCAGCCACCCATCTACTCAGCCACCCAGCCACCCATCTACTCAGCCATTAGCCACCCATTTATTCAGCCACCCATCTACTCAGCCACCCATCTACTCAGCCACCCAGCCAGCCATATATTCAGCCACCCAGCCACCCATCTATTCAGCCACCCAGCCACCCATCTACTCAGCCACCCAGCCACCCATCTACTCAGCCACCCATCTACTCAGCCACCCATCTATTCAGCCACCCAGCCACCCATCTACTCAGCCACCCAGCCACCCATCTACTCAGCCACCCAACCATCCATCTATTCAGCCACCCAGCCACCCATCTACTCAGCCACCCATCTATTCAGCCACCCATCTATTCAGTCACCTATCTACTCAGCCACCCATCTATTCAGCCACCCAGCCATCCATCTACTCAGCCACCCAGCCACCCAGCCATCCATCTACTCAGCCACCCAGCCACTCAGGCACCCCGCCACCCACCGCTGTACTCCAGGGTGCCGCTGCTCCCGCTGTTGCCCCCCGTGCCCAGCGCGGCGACTTTCCGTGTGCTGCCGAAGTCGATGAGTTTGAGCGTGCGTGTGGGGCTCACGACGACGTTGGCGGGGCACACGTCCAAGTGCAGCAGGCCACGCCCATGCACGTGCTCCAGTGCACGTGCCAGCTGGCGCAGCAGCAGCACCAGGTCCTCCTCGGAGTAGGCAACCCTGTGTGCGCAGGGTCACGGGGGGTCGAGGCGCGTGTTTTTACCCAGAGTGGACGTACCTCTTTACCTCTTCAGACCAGGAATAGAATTGTGTTGTGAGCGCGGAGCGCGGGACAATATCAGGGAAAGGACGGAGGGGGGGAGCTGTCGTTACAGTTTGTGTTAAGGGGCCGTCCATAAATGACGTCACGCGATTTTGGACGATTTTTGATCCCCCCCCCTCGTCACACGGCGTCACAAAAAGTCAGACCCCCCCCTCAAATATGACGTCACAAAGCTCTGTCCCCCGCCAAAACCATATTTCCATTTTGAAAATAAAACATGCATCAAATCGCTTTAAACTATTGTCATTGTAGTGTGTATTTAATGTGGCGCTGCACTCTGATGTTGTAGGAGAAAACATTTATTAAAATGTATATTTAATTAAGTGGAACGTGTTGTCTATATTTATTTAAAGTTGCGCTTTTGATGTGACGTCACATGTCTCAAACCCCCCCTCGTCACACATCATCAGAAATGTCTGACTCAACCCCCCTCGGTGCGTGACGTCATTTATGGACGACCCCCAAACACACACGCATAGACACACGTAGACACACACAAAGTGAGGTACTGTGATATGTGCACACGCAGAACAAGCCAGACACACAAGCACAAAGGGAGACACACGCACACACACATGGACAGTGCCAAACACATGCACATACATACGGACACAAATGCACAAAGAGAGACAGGCACACGAATACACATGCATAAATAGAGATATTAATGCACACACACAGAAACACATGTACACACACATTGACGTAGCCATGCACGCAGACGCAAAAAAAAGATCCCCCATATAGCAACTACTTAGAACGGCACGGCATTCGAGGGGGTGATGTGTACACACCGCACCAGGTACTCATGTAAGGCTGATGCGACTTAGGAGAGGCCCAGGACCGGTTTAGATATTCGCCGCTGATGTTGGCCGTGAGCGGGAATCGGACTGGCGTCGCCAGTTTTGCAGTGAAGTGTGCTCACCACTACACTACCACTCCCCACACCCACAACAATAACAACCGCCGTTTACCACTAAGTGCCAGACGAGGTGCACCTTGAGGCGTGGAGCTGGTCACCCCTCCACCTCAATTACCTGACCAAATAACCACAGCGAAATCACCACAATAAGCAAGCGCCGGAGACCCTCGGGGGAAGAGGCGTCTCTGAAGTCTTCTGGCCGAACCCCAATTAGTGGCCCCAGGAGACACTACCCACCCCCTCCCCACCACCTTAGGGCTCCTCCAGGAACAGCAGCAAAACCACCACGGTTGACCACGTGCAATGACCTGCCCCCTGCTGGCCGTCTGTGAAAAAGAGCTTTGCAGCTCATCGGATTCCTCCGGCGTAAGTAAATATTCTGATTCTGACAAACCCACGCAACACTCGACCGCCCTCCGGCGCATGTCCGCACTCGCCTCTCGCACAGGTGCTGCAGCAGCTCGCTGCCGCCGACGAGCTCGGTGACGAGCACCACGTGGCGCGGCGTGACGAACGCCTCGTGCACGGCCAGCACGTGCTCGTGGCTCAGCGAGCGCAGGGCATCGAACTCGGCGCGCGCCAAGGCGCGGCTCTCCTCGTCCGCCGCGGCCAGCACCTTGGCGGCGAACGCGCGGCCCGTGGCGTTCTCGCGGCACACCCGGATCACGCCGAAACGGCCCCTGCCGCGCCGTCCAAGCAGTTCGAGCGTTCACAACGGGGGCAAACATTTTTGTTCGTGTTTTTTTGGCTTGTCCCATAATTCTATGCCGGTTGTGATATCGGCGCGATGTGACTACACGAAAAATCTATTTGGATCTCTTGCAGAATGTGGGCGCTGAAGCGGATACCACAGAGCTGCCTCTGAGATCCCACCCACTCTGCCACCGTTGTGTGACACACCCAATAAGATAATGAGCACTCAGGTGAAACGACGAGACTAGCTCATGTGCAAGAGTGCGATGCATTATGGCATTGCAAGACCGTGAGCAATGGTGTAGCAATTTATGTATGTTGATCAGCTTTCGCACTGTACGTAGCCAACCGTGCTAATCAGAGGTGCGGGGAAGGATCACAAACTAAACACAAAAAAAGCTTGTGGCTGATGATGAGGTTGGTGAGTGAATATGCGACATGAGTACCTGGCCTTCTCCTCCAGGAAGGTGTAAGGAGCCTGCGGGTGGCCCTGCGCGTGGCCCTGCGCGGTCGCCACAGTTGCCGGTGGCCCCGCGATGTCACGACGGGACCTCGCTGTCACTCCCAAAGCTCGACCTGAAGATGCATGGCGAGACCCGGTTTAAACTCGCCACACACCCGCCCCCCTGGTGCAGCCAGAAGCAGTCTCACGTCGAACGCGCGCGCCACCTAGTGACGGAATTGTCACACCGGCCCAAACCAAAATTTATGATTAAAAGAAGCGGACACTTGAACTCCTTCGTATATCTGTCCCTGCACATACAAAATGCAATTATCTTTTACATTTACAACCCCCCCCCCCAACCGGCAGGCCTTTTGTCCGTGCATTATTCCGCAGCACTGGTTCAATGCAAGCAAACTCTGGACCGGTTTCGACGTCTCATCATCAGCGTCGAGGCATTTTTAGGAGGGCAGATATCATGCACTCTCAAAATGCCTCGGGGCTGACAGTTTTCCAGAAAATAGCGAGCGAGAAATTAAGTCCTGGCTACAAGTAGTTACAGGAAGCCACGAAGATGGTGGAAGACAGGAGCAGGTGGAAAGATCTCATGCAGCCCCATCGCATCGAAGAGAAGACGGGAGTGAACTCGTCAAAGTATATTGGCCACATCGCCGCGACCGTCTCCCCGCACCTCCAGGGATGAGCGCGGGCTCCGAAGCGGGGCTGCCGCGGCCCTTGCCAGCGCGCGTTGCGCACGCCACCCTGAAGCGGTAGGCGAGGCCCTGGCACAGGCCACCCACGTGGTGGTACGTGTCCGAGAGGCCGCTCGCCACCTCTTTCCAAGGCTCCCCTGGGCCTACGGTGGTGCAAGCATCACAGGCAGCACGTCAATGAAGGTAAGAAGGGGGCACTGGCATAGTGGTGTAATGTTACCAGCGAATGAGTCCTTGTCAACCTGGCAGACTTCTTAGAGTGTCCCTGAGAAAATGTCTCTCTGTGTCTCTGTCCATGTCTCTCTGTGTGTGTGTCTCTCTGTTTCTCTCACCCTCTGTATGTATTTGTGTGGGTGCGTCCTCTCCATAAATCTGTCAATGTCTCTGTCCATGTCTCCGTATTTTGGGGTTCCCTTCCCCCTGTCTGCACAGCGCCCTACGGGTTGTGGCGTCGTCTCTGTTCACGGCACGCAGGGATTTAGCTACCGGCTTGCATCTCGAGGCAGTACGTGAGCGGCGTGCGCGCCTGCACTGGCTTCCACACCACGAGGGCGCCACTCTCAAACACCTGCGGCACCTCGGGGGCCGCCCCCGTCCAGCTTGGGGGCTCTGACACACCGAGAGGGAGAGGGAGACAAAAGCATGAAGGGAGACATGGGCACGGAGAGGGAGACACGGGCAGGGAGAGGGAGACGCAGGTAGGGAGAGGGGGACAAAGGCATGGAAGAATACAGGGGATGGATGAGCAGCCACAGGCTGTGTCAAATCGGCTATTAGATGTGTCTACACGTGCACTAGTAAAATGTACAGCATTCGAGAACACTTCGGTATACAAGGAGAGAACATTGAATGGCCCACACACACACCCATTTGCTATATGCAACTTAAAGCTGGTCTCACAATACATTGTTGGCATTTGAAGATAACAACCAGGGCCTGTGGTGAAATCACTGGACCCGCGACGAGAATGTTGTCAAAACACGGCTCTGTGGTGCTCCGATAAAGCTGAGGTTATGATCAATTGGAGAGATAGTACTGGTCACTAGTTGGCTCGTTAGTTAAGGTTAGATCTGGTGCTTGCGGTGGCGGTACTAGCACGAGCGAGCATGCAGGAGGTGGTGGTTGACTAGGGAGGTACCGGCACGAGCGAGAGTGCAGGAGGTGGTGGCGATGCCGAGGGAGTTGACGGCCATGCACTCGTAGACTCCCGCGTCGGCCATGCCGGCCCGCACGATCGTGAGCAGCTGCCGCCCGTCCGCTGACCCGGCCAGCCGCACGCGCTCATCCGGCTCCAGCAGCTTCCTGTCTGCTCCGGCGGCCGTGGCCACCACAGAGCACAGAGGGGGACACAGAGAAGAGCACAGGGGGCAGGATGAGAGCGAGCTGCAATGCGGCACCCCCTCAATTCAGAGCCTACATGGCTCCTCTTGGCTACCCCACATGGCTCCCCTTGGCTACTCCACATGGGTAACTTTGGCTACTCCACATTTAGGATGCATTTAGAATGTGGTGAATGAGAAGCGAGGACACCACGGTGTCTGTATAACGGAGGGGGGGGGGGTGGGGGGCACAGTCGTACCCTTGAGCCACGAGATGGTGGGGGCAGGACTCCCAGTCGGGCTGCAGCACAGAGTGACAGGCTCCCCCTCCACCAGCAGCTCGTCCTTGAGCTTTACGGTGAACGCCGGCAGGCTCTCTGTGGCACACGCCTGCTCAATGAACGTTCTTCGCGATCGCTGCATGCGACACGTGTGTTTTAGCCATGTGGTAGGATAGTGCAATCGTCCCATAACAATAAATCGATTTGTTGATGGAGATAGATAATTATGCCGTCAGCACACGAATGGTGCGTTTTTTAATGCACTGCTGTATTATGATTTATGCAAATAATCAGTTCGTGCGCAGGTGCTACATGCATTGTTACATGTGAGGTGACACAAGTAAGGTCACTATACTGTAGCGCCAGCCACTGATTCTGGAGTGCCACTGAGTGTCGGGAACCTCCATAGGAGGCTTGAGGGACACGTGGCCGGGAGCCGGGAGCTCCTGACTTGATACAGCAGGGGGCGTGGCCGAGGGCGGAGCAAGGCCGCGAGCAGCGGGATAAAGGGGGAGCCCAGAGAGGGATCGGGGTTCGTTTGTGGGGATCGTACTGGGACTCTTCGCTCTACGCTCCCTGTTCGTCGGTTGAACCTTAGCTGGGGATTGTGGGTCAGACAGCGTGTGTGCTGACTGGCCCGTTCGCTAGGGTTCACTCGCACGCACATAGCGACGGTATACCTACACCTAGCTATAGGACCCGAAGTGGGTACAGTGTGTTTATTAAACGTGTTGCCTCCAACTATAGTGTGTGCGGCTCAGTGTTAGTAGCTTGGGGAGGCATTTATCCAGTGGTAAATTGACCATGTCTGACGATTATGCAAATTATATGTAAATATATGAATTGAGGATAGTGAAGCGAATGTGATGCAATGAATACGTTGGTATAAACTAGCCATAAAAAATTTAACGGGATCCCAAATTAAGCAGTCACCCTGATTCATGATGGTTCACCGAATCGTGGGGGAAGGCAGTGATTTGTTACAGGGTCTTATTGTAAGGGCAGACCGTGGCGGTTGCGTATCAACCATGCAATAGTTGTGGGTAGAAGGAAGGCGGCAATACCAGGCGGGGTAGCTAACATCTCGCCACCGTGGCGCCCATGACACGACACCGACAGCACAAGTGAAGTAAAGCTGAGGAACAGAGAGAAGACGAAGACATCGACGATTCGCACCGGAGGAGCGCAGCGACCGCCGCACGGACTCCTTGAAGCCGGAGAGCCGCGCGGCAGGCGCCGGGTTCTCCCGGGACACGGAGGCGAGGCTGTCACGCGAGCTGCTGCCCGAGTCTTGATGCGGCGAGGGGCTCCGGTCGCGCCGGTTCAGCCGGCTCGCGCCCCAGCGGTCCCAGCGCGAGCGCCGCTCCGGCTCCTCTGCCAACGGCAAACGTTGAGGAGGCAGATCCGTACGGAAATTTCAAGGTCGCGCACGGGCATGTGTTTGTGTGTGCGTGAAATTGTGCGTATGGGTGTGTGCGAGAGAGCGTGCGAGTGTGTGAGTGTGTGTGCGTGTGCGCATTTGGGAAGTGGTAGCGTAGCAGTTAGTGCATTGTGCTACGAACCCAGTCACCCGAGTTCGATTCCCGCTGATGGCCAGCAACACCAGTGACGATTATCTGAACTGGTCCTGGGACTCCCCTAGGCCAACTCAGCCTCAAATGAGTACCTGGTGCGATATGTAAACATCGCCATTGGGGAGACAAAGGCGGCCGGGTGTGGTGCTGGCCACTCACCCTCTCGTTTGCCGTGCCGGCCTTCAGAGATGCTTGCTATCAGTACTCGCCCCAAAAAAGTCTATTAAGGCCATACGGGGGATCTTTGTGTGTTTGCCCATCCATTTGTTTAGTTTGTATGTAAGAATGTGGGGTACGTCAGCTTGCGCGCGCGTGCGTGTGAAAGCGCGTGCTCACATTCGTGCGTGCACGCGCTTGCCACGCGCGCGGCATGCGTCTGTGCGCACAACAGCGCGTGCCATTCGTTACCCGTATCCGTGCTGGCGCTGGTCACCGAGCGCATGGAGCTGCTGGAGGGGGACGGGGGCGGCTTGACGCCGCGCGACAACGCGCGCCCCCCCTCGTCCCCGGACAGCTCGCGCAGGGATGCGCCCTCCGACCCCGTCCTGCGCAGGGGCGCCCACTCCGAAGCGGCGCGCCCCAGGCCCGTCTGCTCGTCCGCGTCGTCCGTGGCCGCGTCGAGGCTGCCCGCGCGCGTCTCGCCAAACGCCCTGCGCCGCGCGGCTTGCGCGTCGCCGCCGCCCGCCCGGTCCTCGGAGCGGCTGCGTCCCGAGCGCAGGGACAGGCCGGACACCGTCGCCTCGATCCTCCTTCGCAGGGCCATCGCCGGTGACGATGCGCGACCCAACGGGCCGTCGCCGCCCTCCGCCGCCACGTCCCGCACCCCGTCCCGGTCCCTGGCCGCCTGCTGCCCCTCGGTGGCCGGGGCCTCCCCAAGCTTGTGCTCTGACTCGATCTTCTCAGTGGAGCCGATCCGTTTGAGTCTGGAGGAAAACTTCTGCATCATGGTGGGGGTCTTGCTCCTGCCCTCACTTTCCCTCGACTCTGTGCCCTCTGTAGACTTTCGCTCGGTCGACGGGGACCTCTTGAACCGCTGCGACAGTCGCTTCACGAGGCTCCCGGGCTCCTCCGCGGGTTCCCGAGTAAGCTGCTCTTTGCTCGCCATCGCCGTGTCAGAGATGCTCCTGTCCCCTTTTCGAGATACCGCGTTGCTGAGCATGGACCCCTCGGGAGAGCTCTGCTGGAGCTGCCGGTAGAGCACCTGGGTCACTGGCGCCTCTGCCACCAGAAGTTCCGCCTTAGTCTGAGACACGGTTTGCTTTGGCGTACTCAGCGATCCGCCGCGCACATTCACGGGTCTTTGCCCCAGCCCCTCGTCTCTCGGCGCGAGCTGAAGCCTCGTTGTGCTGCCGTTGTTTGAGAAGCGTTTCGCCATTTCCCTCACACTGCCATCGGTCGACGCCGCGTTGAGCAGGCGAGCGTAACGCCCGACCGTCTGAGGCTTTGACCCGTTTAGAAGTGGATTCGTATTTGTCGTCTCAGCCTCTCCTCCACCCGTGGTCCTCGTCACCCAGGGAGTACCGTTATCCGCTGCCTGTGATGTCCGCGCCTCCGTCGCTTGAGGTTTCAGCACGACCAAGCCCCCGGGCTCCGGGGTTTTTTCTGTGAACTGCGGCAGCCTTGTCGCTGCTGCCGCCTGCAGCTGCCGGCCTCTGCCATTCTGAGCGACTGAGCTTTGCGAGCGCTGCATGATGGTGGGCTCGGCCTTTTGCTGCCGTAGGCACCTTTCATTTTCCGTTGCCACCACCGTTGTTTTCCTCGAGTCTTCATCGAGCGCGCTTCCCCCCTGCTGAATTCGCAGCATCGTGTCCAATGCGGTTGACGTGGCTGAGGACTGCCCTCGTTGCTCGAAAGCGAGCTGCCTTCTCAGTGCAGGCTCCCTGCCGACTGGGATACTGCCAGACGACCGGAACACCTCCGGTTTCCTGCCCGATGCGATGTCCTCAGCCTCGGAGGAGGACGCTCCCCGTTCAAGTCGCGTGCTCCCGGCAGGGTCACTCGAGCTGCGCTGGTGAACCTCCCTCACGAGGGACCTCCTCGGCGCCACCAGCGGACTCTCCGCCAGGAACGTCGAGGGTCGATCTTTCACCAGTTCCAGCGGCCCCCTGCTTTCTGTGGAGCTCTCAGAGGGAGGGCCTAGAAGCGTCAAACCAGGGCTCCGGCTTTTTGGTGGGAGCTCCAAGGATGCCGACTTGCTCAGGTGCGGCTTCAGGTACTGTGAGGCCGCAGCGGCGCCGTCCTGCGTGCTCCTGTTCGTGACAGAAGCCCGGCCATCCTGAAAGGCTGCGTCGGCCGAGTTGGTCCTTTGGATCACGCCTCTCTGAGCCGCTCTGCGCTCCGAAAACGACTGCAGTCCCCGTTCTATCGCCGCTTCCTTGCTGCCGCACTCCCCGTTCCGTTGCACCACCGCCCCGAGTCGGCCGAGCACCGCGGGCTCCGTGTCGGAGCCCAAGGTCCCCCGTGCGGAGGAACCCCTACTATCGTCCTGGCTCCGAGCCGAAAAATCTGGACGCAGTGCGTCCAAACCTAATCCATTCGAGCTTTCGGAACCACCTGGGTCTTCCTCTCCGGACGAGGAAGACGAGGAGGAGGAGAAGGAGGAGGAAGCAGCGGCGTCTCGAAGTTGCTTGGCCGTGCGGCGGGAGACGCGCGGGGCGACGTGGCCCGACAGCACCTCGGGGATGGAGCGCAGCACCACGGCCGACTTGTAGCGCACCAGGGAGCGCTGCTCGCACACACACGCGGCACGGCAGCAAGGCTGAGTCTCCCTGCCAGCAATGGGGTGAAGCTCATTTGCCCGAGTGGAATCGAGTTATGGAAATTTATAAATTGCTACGGCAGGGAGCAGCCTAACCGTAGAAGAATCTCTGGGATTTTTGTTTACTTTTTACCCAATTACATTCCAATTTTGCACTCAGTATCAGGTCACGAGGCAGCCATTTTTCAATCAGAACACTGCAGCTAGTAGTGCATCACACTGTGTTTGAGAATGCCCTGAGAAGGTGATATCACAGAACTATTTCAAGAGGACTTTATCCACACTAGAGTTCACGCCTTTTATTTCCGCAGCACATGCTGCACACACACGCTCACCTGCAGCCTTCGGCGGGACAGGAAGAATTTGAGTCGATCCGTGCTGATGTTTGTGACTGCTCGCAAAGTCGTGAAGCTCTGTGGATGATGAGGAAAATACACATCGCACCATTAGAAGTCACTTAGCTCCATGGACAATTACACCAAATCCATCCAGTGATGTGTGGCATACCGTGGCAGGGTAAAGCCACGGCATTTGTTTCAGTGTGGGCTTTAAGAGCTGTTGTAGTTTGGCTCTACGAGTCATCCCGTATGCTCATCCGACTTAAAAGGAGTCACTCCACTGGATAGACTCGATCCATTTTTATGGTTTAGGGTCGTATATAGGTGTTTTATTCATTTGTACAGTTATGTTCACCTCATTGCATTAAATCACAAACAATCCTCATATGCACAATTTGGTGTACACGGTGTGAGAATGAGAATGGATTTTTTTTTTTTATTGACGAATCGATGCATCGTCACACGCTTAATGCTCATGAAGCCTCACGAGCCGCCGCACGTAATCGTGGCCATAGCGAGGTGTTGGTAGTGCTTCTCAGCTTTTGCGAAGCGCTCTTACCTTGAACCACGGGTGCTTGAGGCAATCGTCAGCCAGTGGCCTCCGCCTGCGATAAACACAATCAGGTGGCAGCATGACCACGTGCGAGCGGCCGCCAGAGTCTGCTCACAGCTCCAGGTTGAGGAGGCTACATACTCCGCCCCGAGCTTGCCAGGCCCGTGTGACATTTGCAGGTGGACTGAAGCGCGCTGGCAGCGGCTTCCCGCATAGAGACCCATGGACTCACGCAGAGACCCAGAGGCTCGGCATAGAGACCCCATGAGAAACTGGAATGCACTCGCAGTGCAAGCAGCTTCCCTGGAGAGTTGCTGCCATGGGAGCCCATGACGGGTGCATCATTGTTATCACTACACGTTTGCCATCCCATTCTAGTTATCAATTCAATTCATCTGTGTGCGTCATCAGCTTCGACTGGATAAGCCGAAGCAAACTTCGTTGCTTCCTCAAACTGACAGTCACTAGGTTTCCTCTTGGGAATATTAAGTTTTACTCCACTCGTCACGAGCGCAAAATCTGAATCCTACTGTCACATTCACTGCTTGCTCCGTGCAATGATGCGAAGAAGAAAAACAACCTAAAGAAAGTGAAATATATTTTTCATGGTCTTGAGTAAGTTAAATGTTTTCATTTGAACCTGAATACTCTACTTGCAAATAGTTTGACTCAAATAAGCAACACATACTTCAATAATTAACCTCGAAGCCGACTGAATGTGAATAGGCAATATATGAAGATGGCGCATATGCATTCCGCCTTTGTAAACAATGCTACTCACTTGTGCAAAAGTTCCATGCTAGCAATATTGAACAAAAAGAGAGTAGAGTTTACAAAGCATGAATACGCAGTTTGATTTAAAGCCGTTTACTCTTCTAATTAAAATCTAAACCACTAAATCGATGCATAACTGAGGAGACCATATTTCTGGGAGTCTCAACCTGGACACATTTTTTGAGTTGACAGCCCCTCTGTCTGCCAGCCCCACCCACTTTCACGTAACCACACCCACTTTCACGTAACCACACCCACTTTCACGTAACCACACCCACTTTCACATAACCACATCCACTCAAGCGCTACCCCTGCGAGTTGCCTCGCTCATTCTGATGCTCACCCCTTGCCCACTCTCCACAGGCCCCACCCACGCCGCAACCAACCCCGTCCACTACTCTGGTAGCCCCACCCTTTGCTCGTATCATGAGCCGAGCATGAGGCCTGAACATTTTGAACTGGGACAGAATCCAGATTTTTGCAAATCCTTTAGGGGAAACACTGAGACAGCCTTTCTGAAACCTGCACTGCCCGTCGGTCAAAACTGGACATTTGGTACGTTTGCTCAGAACTTTTATCTCTCCCCCCCATCATACCCTCCAGGCCCAAACAATCTATAACCCCCATCCCGTCCGCTGAGTGATGCTCACCCGATGTCCTGCACGAGCACTCTGGAGATGAAGTCCTGCGCCTCGCGGCTCGTGATCGCCGCCGTGCGCTCGTCGAAGTTCAGCGTCTTGCGCGTGACGTTGAGCAACGTCGCTCGGTCGTTCTCGCCCAGGAACGGAGAGAGTCCGCTGAGGCTGCGGCGACGCGCGGGGAGCAACGTAGTTACCGCCATCAACTACCATAGCCACCATCAACTACCATAGCCACCATCAGCGTTAATTTTATATATTGAGCTGGCTGATATTACGTATATATTTAATGTGGAGTACTGGTGAAAGTAATATATGAAGGGAGTACTTACCACACGTACGTAATGACACCTACAGGCCTGATAAGTAAAAACACAACGTGCGTTAGAAAATTTTACTTCGCGTTGGTGTTTGGTTGATCAATGTATATGTAAACAACACGATGCATATTTTAACATTTTAAAAGAGCATTGGAACAGTGCTTATTACACCGCGGTCTGTCCCGCACCTCTGATTATCAGCGTTGGCTACATTCGGTGCGAAAGAAGTTCAACATACATACATGAACCTGGTGACCGGAGTTCGATTACTGGCCACTACAGAACTGGTCCTGGGCTCTCCATAACTTCACCAAACCCACATTGACCAGTGTAGTGATCTGTGGTCAAACAACACCCATGATCAACACCGTGTGGGGAGACCTTCACTCCAGGGGATATATAATGGCTACTAATCAGGTAGCCCCGCCCTTTGCCCATATCATCAGCCGAGCATCAGGCCAGAACATTTTAAACTTGGTCAGAATCCAGATTTTCGCAAATCCTTTCGGGGGAACACCGGGCCAACCTTTCTGAAACTGCGACTGCCCCTTGGCCAAATCGGGACATTTGGAACCTTTGCCCAGAACTTTTACTTCCCCCCATCACACCCCCAAACCCTCTGACCCCTATATCATGGCTCATGATGACGAAGACACACGTGGGTGCGAGCGGCACCAGATGTCGGAGGCCTTGTACACGGGGCTGTGGCGCGCCACCTCGGGGGACACGAACTCAGGCGTCCCGAACTCGCTGTACTGCGGGGAGCCAGGCACCACCTCCTGGGCGAAGCCAAAGTCGCTTATCTTGATGTCGTCCTTGCCAGCATCGGCCATCAGGATGTTGGACGGCTGTCATGGGGGACATACAGACGTAGAAACATGTGAACGTATAACCAGGTGAGAGCCCATTGAGACAGAAGTCTGTTGTGCAAGACCTAGGATGCATAGAATGTAAATTGTAAAAACTACAAACTATAAAACTAAACAAAAAAAACGAAACTCTAAAACTATACACTAAACAATTTTATTTTACCAAGTAAGACCCACTGAGCTATGTAGCTCTTTTTCAGAAGTGACCTGGCCACAAATGATCGCTGAACGAAGTGGTTTACCGTGTGGAAATTATATCCAATTGCCCACTCATGCCACTGCAGGCGGAAGGGCCTCCAACTGAGAGCTCAAGAGAGTCCATCTCAAGGGTATTTTTGGCCAATTCTGCTCATCTTGGAATAGCTGGGAGTATCCATGCTTTACCCCACCACGCCCAACTTGCGGGTCTACTATGGTATACTGACTTTATTCTGGGTGGCCCAGCGGGAGTGCATTCGCGAATTGTTGCAGAAGTTCTCGGTTTGAAATTGGCATGCCACCCTCATTAACATTGTGGGTGTACTAATAATATAAATACACGCCATGTGCTTTACAGTGGATGGTTACGATCCACTGACATCATTTGAAACGAGAAGGCTATAGTGTGCTGGGGTCATGGTCCAAATTATAAGGATTTTTTTGAAAATTATTAAATTGATATTACACATCAATCATTGCTCCCTACTGTTAGAATAATATCCTCTTTCAGGCCAAGTCCTGCGTTACTTCGTGCCTCATTTTAAAGGGTACAGTCTGAAAGGGCGCCCTTTCAAATGTATGAGATGATTTGTAGTTATCTTAACTCCTGCAAAGCACTCTGAGACGCCCCAGCCCAAAGGGCACTCTATCAAACGCAATTACCATGTTGCTAATTCACATGTCACGGCGGGAGATCGAACCAGAGACCACTGGATTGCAAGTCCAGCGTGCAAACCATTACACCAAGGCAGATGTAAATGGTAACAATGTTTTACAGGAGTTAGAAAGCTGTCAAGTTGAATTATTCTTTGGGTCTTTTGGTAGATAGGATCGCAACACAAGCGTTCGTTGAATGCTTGTGTTGCGATCGAAACGTCATAGCTTTTTGTTATTTTTTGTTATTTTCTTTGAACCAATCTACGTGACTTTACCGAAAGACCCAAAGAATATGAATTCCTGCAGTCACGACAGCTTTAAGTCAAGATTTAAGTTTAATTATGTCGATTTAAAGTGTTTATAATTTATACACTGGGTTTTTTGAGTGACGTAAAACAAAATTGTGCGACATTCACACGACAAATTAAATCTCTTTCTGCAACAGACGTTCCATTCCCAACCTGTGCCTCACCTCGATGTCGAGGTGGAGTATGTTGATAGAGTGCAGATAGCTGATGCCCTCCAGGATCTGCTTGATGTACATCTTCACCTACACGTGGAAAAAAAATACAAATCATCACCAGGCGAGCGGTGTCTTTAACGTCACACCATCGCAAGAGACGTATGTATGTGTGTGTGATAATAATGGCTCGTGTCCTCCCACTGGCCTGATGTTCAGACAGCGCTGGCTTCTTCACCAGCCTGTCCAACAGCTCCTCATTCGAACACCTGTGAAGCGGTCGTTAAGGGCAGCCCTTATTTGTCTACAACACCATCAGAATGGAGGGACGCAACTGTGACAACAATAAAGATAATATATACCAAGGGCATGTATTGAAGGCAAGCCCGCGATCTGAATCTTGACTTAAAGCTTTCGTGACTGCAGTAATTCATATTCTTTGGGTCTTTTTTGGTAACGTCACGTAGATTGTTCAAAGAAAATACTACGACGTTTCTATCACAACACAACACAAGCGATCGTTTGTGTTGTGTTGTGATCGAAACGCTTGTGTTGTGTTGTGATCGAAACGTCGTAGTATTTTCTTTGAACCAACTACGTGACTTTACAGAAAGACCCAAAAAATACAAAATTATGAATTCAAGGTTAGTAATTCGATAGTGAGAAAGCAACATGATAGGTGACTGACGCGTGATTGATAAGTAACTGAATGAGTGATTGACAGATTATGGATAAATAAATAATTGAAGTAATTGATCAACGTGTGATCAATCAATAATCAATTTACATGCCAATATCGCCCTCAATAAAGTAGGCATCAGTGCAAACTTCACTGGAACGAGAACGATCCAGGGGGCAATCGAGTAACCGGTCACACCCTCAACGGCTAACACCAACCGAGCAAAGTAAACTGCAAATGCGTGCAAAAATACTTTCTTGACGAGTGACCGATGGATGGCGAATCGACCCCTTTGACCAGAGTAACCTGATCGGTGGGCCGACAGAGGATACAGCTCCATGACGATGATGACGCGGCGCCGCGAGCGGAAGGCGTCGTGCAGGCACACGACGCGCTCGTGCGCGAGCCGTGCCGCCACACGCAGCTCCCGTTCCGCGGCCTCGCGCCGCACGCGACCCCGGGGCAGCGACTTGGCGGCGCAGGGAGACCCCCCGCTAAGTGCACGCACGCGGCGCACTGAGCCGAAGGCTCCCCTACGTGTGGGGGGGGGGGGGGGGGAGGGGGTCCGAGGTCGCACAGGGGACAGGGCACTGGGGGTCAGGTCTCGAGGGGCCGCACAGGAAGACCCCACCCCCCCCCCACACCCAACCCCGCCGAGCACACGTTCGTGGTGCACTGTGTCTCTCCTGACGGGGGTTGGGGAGTGGGGAGATGTGTATGGGGTCAGGGGAGGACACACACGGGGGTGCTGAGGAGCGCTCTGGTCATGGGCAGCATTGGGGTAAGGGAGGGGGTACGAGGGTCAGAGAGCGTAGGGGGTCAGCAAGGGGGCAGGCGAGTCGAGGGCAGCACCGGGGAGCAGAGGGAGTCAAACGGACCACAGTGGGGGCATGGGAGGAGTCAGAAAAAGCGTGAGGATCCAAGTGGCAGAGTAGAGAGTGCAGACGGGGCTCAGTGGTGACATAGAGAATAGGGTCAGAATTACAACAGGGGCCACGGTTATAACAGGACTTCAGAAGAAAACAGTGGGTTCACAGAGGGTTGGAGGGTGTACAAGAGTTCACAGGGCAACAGGCAGGTTAGATGGCACGTGAGGTCAGGGAGAGCACAGGAGTCGGGAGGACACAGGGTATGAGGTGGGAAGGAATCCTGGCTAAGGGGCAATTACATGACACAAATGTGTGGCATCGGCCTCACTGCATCATCACGAGTGATGGCCCACCTCCCGATCTCTTCCAGTATCTCATAGTGGTCTTTCAGTTTTCGTACTTCTTCTTCTGGCATCTCTCGCTGTCGGGCCTCTGATTTTTCTAAAACAAAAGAACAATTCAGAAACAATAGTTTATCACCATGTAATATTTTTTTCCAGGATAACGACACAATGTTCTCTGTGGGGTCGATGTAGATTTTAACATAATTCTTAACTATTCTTGCCAACAAAAAAATTAGCCCGAACCATTACCAAACGAGCCATATTAATACTAGCCCTGACCATAATCATATAAGCTGACCAAATACTAGCACTGCAAAAAACACATAAGCCAATTTAATCCTAGCCCTCACGCTAAAAACAGGAGCCAAGCAGCCCCCTAACCCTATCCAACCAGAACCCTCGCACGAGCCCTACCATTAGCGCCTCTCCTAACGCAAGCCCCGTTCCAGGCGATTCACCTGACCAACCGTGTCTCCCCCACCCTGCTGCTTCACTTTCTGTTTGCGTGTGGCCCTCCGCTGCTCGCCGCTGCTGCTACGCACGGACGTTGAACGTATTTCGCACCTCCAATTAGCACGGTTGGCTATGCACGGTGGGAAAGAAGTTCAACCTACGCACGTACACCGTTACACAGCCAACTGTGATAATCGGAGGTGCTGCTGGTGCAAGTGTCACGCGCACCCACCCATGTGCACGCTCAGCTCGGCCATGCAGCGTGCCGTGCCGGCCCGGGATCGCGCCTCGCACGCGTAGAGCCCGCGGTCCGAGCCACGCACGTCGCGCAGCAGCAGGGAGCACGCGGAGCCGCTCCGCGTCACCGAGGCAAGCCCGCCTGCCTCCGCCAGCCGAGCGCCATCCTGCACATGAACACACGCGCATACGGGCGCGCAGGCAACAATGACAACAACAATCACCATTCGCCACTAAGTGGAGGTGACGTCACCGCGGCGTTTGTGCCATGCTAGGTGGACTTTGAGGCCACGTGAAGTGTCGAAGGCTCGCTGGGCAGGAGGTCACGGGACAAACCCAGGTGCCATGGGTTGACTGCCTGAGATGACTGGCAGATGCACCACCTGTGCCCGCTACTGTGCCAAACTTGCTGTGCATTAGCTCCGCGGCACTCTGCTCGTTGTTGTGAGCGTCGTTCCTCTGCCCTTTGCTGTTGTTGGAGGGCGACTGCCTCCAACTCTCCAGTAGCGTCCTTCACGAGCCTCCTCCACAGAGGCCAATCTTGACATTGCTGGTACCAGTCATCGGCAAGCCAACTCAGCTCCAAGTGTGTGTGCGCCCAAATGCAAACACACACTTGAGCCCAGCTACAAAAAGGCAGCGTTTTTAATTAGCACAATATCATGCAATATTTAAAGAGTTTGTCAGCCTTACGCAGTTAATGCTATTGCGTAAACGTGGATTTTGCACACTTAAGCAGGGCCTGACTTGATGTAAAGTGCGGTGTTCGGCTGCCCTTTGAGCCGCCGTGAGCACGGACGGGGCTCAGCATGCCGAGCCTCCTCACCTTGTACCACAGCACATCGGGCTCGGGGCGCCCGTGCACCACCACGGACAGGCGGACCGGGTCTCCTTCCTGCACTTCCACGTCCTCCATGATCACCTCGAAGTGCGGGGCCTCTGCAACGCAGCGCTTAATGTTTGCTCACCAGTGACCGACCGCGGTAATCATCGTCATCATCATTCTATCTTCATAATTTTCCTTATTATCATTAATGTTACCATTATCATCATTTTCACCGTGAATATCAGGATCAGCATCACCAATCAGTGTCATTATTTTCATCATCGCCGTTTGTCATAATTTTCATCATTGTCGTAATTTTCAGTATCATACTTTTTATCATCTCATTTACATAATCATAATCTTCATTATTTTCATCATCATGATTTTCAATAGATGTACAAGATTTATTGTGCACTCTTTTGGAGGATTTTGGGATTATTATAATGATAAGACTCAGAAAGTCGAAATTGTTCCAGAATTTGCCTCAACTTAATTCTGCTTGAATACTGTCTATTGTTTTAGGTGGCCCATGCATGGGCTGATGGACTTAAATGTTATTTCATTTTTACATCTAAACCGAACCATTGTCTGTTTATTAAGCGTGTTATTAATCTGCAAATGGCGTTAATTCACAACCGAACGTTGTGAACCAATGATCACCAAATAACCTTTTGGATTATTCAACACACGGTACAGTACTTGCTCCAATCTAAGGACCAATGCAGTTTACACTGCAATGTGCCTCACTGGGTTTGATGATTTTTTTTTATAACTACTGCAACTTCCAGAGTAGAGATGCCAAAAAACGTCACAAGTTGCTACGTTAACACAGCAAGTTGCTGTTAAATGTCAAGTGAGTTCTAAATCCGATAGTGTTGAAGGTTAAGGTTCGTAAATATGGTTTATGTTTATATATCAAAACTAAATATCATGCTACAGCCACCAGTGCCAAGCCGCACGACCAAGGTCTATTTGTGACAAATGCCGACAGTAATACAATCCGTCCATTATTATTAACTCCCTGAATGCCTTTAGAATTCTTCATAAACTGAGGACTGACATCATCTCCGCTCAATCTGGCAGCATCTGCAACTCTCCGCTGATTGTTTCTGAACCACCAGCACAAACGCAACCCCCCGCCAAACCTACACAACGATGGTACTCGTTTCAATCGAATCTGATGCCTCTGCTGATGTGACCCAGAAGGTCAAAACCGGCCAGGGTTTGCATAGTTAAACAAATGTTTCCAGATACATTTGGTCTGCGAAAGCCAGTGGGTGATGGACAAATTATGATGTATTTATATGTGGATGCAGAGACAGGAGTTTTGCTGCATCTTTTTTTATCCAGTGTCTTTACAACTTTCTGGCTGTAAACGTGAATGTTACCTAAATATTGACAGTACGCTGAAATGTTGAGCTTTTTCCTGGAGATGAAAACAGTAAATCTGGCTTATTTAATTAAATAAAGATGTTTCTGTTATATGTTGTTCTATTTAGATCTTTTTTAAAAGATATCTTAAAATATAGTTTTTGTTCTATCACATTAATAGTCCAATAACGCTATTGGCATCATGTTGTGAGTTAGTCAAATGTTATATTTGCGGTATTCATTATATATTTGAATTATACTGTAATCCAATTAAACATATCATGCCACAATTCTCGATTTCCAGGCATTTAGCAATACGTGTATCTATTAAACTCTACCCTTATCCTCACAATCCAAGCAATTGATTTTCTTTGTTTGAATCGATCACTTTCAACTTAGACAAATGTTTCCAGGCTAACAGATGGAACCAACACGATAGAAACAGAAAGAACGACCGACAGAGACTACAAACAAGAGGAGCTCAACAGTATATACCAGGGGTGGGCAACTAAAATAACAAGAGGTATTTTTTTTCGAATTCGGTAACAATATAAATATTACAAGAGCCGCAATGCATAAGAATGACGTCACGAAGCAGTCCTTAAAGAGCCGCGTGCAGCAGTGCAGGAGCCTCAGGTTCCCGACCCCTGGTATAGACAATACACGTGGTGCAAATGAGATGGTACACTGGGCATGAGCACATTCCCAGCGGCTTCAGTCAAGGCCGATTGCAATATTTCGTGATGCCCAAGGCCACATGAAACCGAGCTCAGGGGCGGCCGAGACACGAGTGGAGGAGGCACGTTGGGGTGTGGGCCCCCCCCCCCCGCCCGGGCTCACAGACGAGGTCACGCACCGGCCTGCGACACCACGGCCGTGTAGGAGTCGGAGCCGAACTCGCCGCGCGCCGTGCACACCAGCTCCCCCAGCAGCTCGGCGCGAGCACGCGGCATCTCCAGCGCCCACGTGCCCCCGGGCCGAGAGCTCAGCCGCACCTCGCCAGAACTCTCGTCCACCGGGATGCCGTCCCTAAATAAAAGTCACAAACGCGCCGCTTGCACTCGCGGCGACGGCGACAGCCGTGACGGCGAACGGCAACACGGTCGAAGCGGCGCGCGTGATCGGATGTCGACGGTACAGAACACACGCACGGCAGTAGATTTGATCGATTGTAAATTAAGTGCTGGCTATAAATGTTGTGGCTCACGATGAAGTGGAAAAAAGTTTAACAAAAATGGTTGTAGATGTGATTCGGGATGTGAGTGTAGGTGTGAGTGTGGATGGAAGCATTGAGGAGGGAGCGTTGTTCCTGCACCTTGTCCATGACACGGTCGCCTGCACATGGTTCAATCTGCACGTGATCTCCAGGGGCTCATTTTCCACCGCAAAAATCTCTTCATACTTCTTGACAAAGCGAGGAGGCTCATTGAGAAAGGGCTCTGTGGAGGAAGAACGAACAACTGTGAATACTGTCAGGGTGCAAATTTATTTTCACAGGCAGGTGTGGCAACTATTGTGTCGGTGGCCACACGTGTCTGTGTGTGATAGTGAACAGCAATATCTGACCCCCCCTCCTTTCCCCTCCTTTGGCAATGTGTTTTTTCGGTTTTCAGTTTCAGTTGATTTATTTTGGTATAGCCCTGTGAGCCATTCGGCTCTTGAATCGGGTGCAACCACAACAAACAAAAAACAAAAACACGAACAAGAAAAACATCTTAAAGTGACTATGTGACTGTGCAAACAGAAAATCTATGAAAAAAACAGCTAAATATTCCTGAAAAAAGTAACGTACACCAACGCAAGTCAAACAACAACAACCACAAGAAAACTTAGATTAAGGCCATCAGTCTAACTCTGTACTACAAGAAAACAAACATGTCCAAACCAAAAAACGTTTTCGAAATCACCAAAAGATAAAGCCATAATTGCAACGTAACAGTGATCATAGGGACTGTGACCGAATTTTTACAATAAACTACATAAATAACATTTAACACCAAATCCTAGAGCCATAGCTGGCTGCATGAGTTACTCCACAACAACAGAAGCATCAGTCGGAGTATCACATTTTTCAATGCACCTTTAAGATCAGCACGCTAAATCAAAATACAGATAATACGTTGTAGCGTCATCTGGAGCGAAACATTTTATTTTACTTTACGCCAATGAATAGCAGTGGCAGCTAGGGGTGTACAACTCCTCTAGAGCAGTTTTGAGAGAAGATCTCATTGGTAGCGATTCAAGTTGCAGTTTATTGGCAATAGCATTCCAGACCCTGGGGGCATCAATAGCAAAGGCCCTTCCTCCAGTTTTTGTACGGCAATAGGGAATGTGAAGCTGGTAAATGAGCGAAGACCTGAGGTCTTGTAGCCCTTGCCACCATTCCCCTATATATTTTTTCTCATGTATTTCTGAAATTATGTACGCAGCCGCGACGTGTTGGCTGCTCTGACTCACTTGAGTGTGAGCGTGTGAATAAACCATTCATATATATTATATACTTGTGTGTGTATTATATACTTGTGCGTGCCAGTAGACACCCACACTGTGTGCTGGTGGACACTCTTGTACGCTGGTGGTCACAAGGGCCTCCTGTTCGTGTGTGCTAGCAGACGCGCACGCTACGTGACTTTTTACTTAACACCTTTGTCTCCCCAGTGCCGATGTTTACACACCGCACCAATATACACATTTGAGGCTGAGTCGACCTAGGGGAGGCCCAGGACCCATTCAGATAATTGTTACTCGTGTTGGCCATGAGTGGGAATCAAAGCTCGGATCGCCGGGTTCGTAGCGCAGCGCACTAGCCCGCTGAACTATCGCCCCCACACACGCACACACACACACACACGGGTGCCGGTGTCCACTGTGCCCGCGTGTACCCACTTCCCCCCCACCCATCCCCATACCCCCCCCGTCGCTGCTGCCCTCACCGTGGGGCAGGAGGCAGGTGGGTGCCGAGGCAGGCGAGGGGCGGCTGCAGCCGTGCGGGCTCACGGTGAGCGCGCGGAAGAGGTAGTGCAGTCCCGGGCGCAGCGTGCGCACCGCATGGCTCGTGCCCGGCACGTTGGACGCCACGACGATCCACTGGCTGCGGCCAACCACCTGGTACTGCAGCGCGTACGTCACGGAGCCCGGCTCTGCCGATGAAGCAGTGGCATTTGTCTTTAATTCGTTTTGCATTTTATCTTGAACGAGGGGGGAAATATATTTATTTTTTCGTACGTGTTCAATGTCATAATATGAATAATAATTGACTTATTTATCCAGGAAGCCACACTGAGTCGTATGACTCTTTTTTTTTCAGGAGGGTCTTGCCACATTGGGTTTTTGTTTTCAGATATTTTCAGCCAACGCACACGAGGGGGAAGCACTTCATCCTCGTACGGAAGCTAACAGATGGGGATTTGTCCGCTTGCTGTCCTGCCATCTCCTGTCGAGCCAAGGTATGGTACCTCCTCGCCACCCATGGAAAGGGTGTTTCACAACATCTGTATGATCCACCAACCCTCGCCTCCACGGCGATGGATTACAGACATGACAGACATAATAAAACAAAAATACCAACTCTCACACTGAAATATCAGTCAAACTGATGTTTTTTTTACATTTCTCGAAGCTGGAATTTAGCCAACATGAAGCCTAAACCAAATTTAAAGTGGTTGCTCTTTCGTTGTCGATGGAATTCAGGGGGAAATGCGTTGTTGTGGCGTTTACCTTCACTAAAGAAATACAACCATGGCGAATATTCATTTGATCCCATTGTCACGAATGAGGTAATGGAACAGACAGATGATGATGAGCGCCTGACCTGAGAAAGCCTGGAAGGCCTTGGGAGGTTTCCACGACAGCGTCACGGAGTCGTCAGTCACATCTGTGACAATCGGGGGTCCATCCGGAGGCCCGGGGGTGGCGTCTGCCGAGACAGCGAGAGAGAGACAGACAAAGATGCGCGCCGTGACTTCAGGACCAACACACTTCTGCGGAACGTGAGACGTTCGAGTTGACCCGCGCTAAGCCAGGAACAGTCCACGTCCAGGGGTGGGTGGATGAACAGGGGGAAGCTCTCAAGGGAATGCGAAGGGGGCATTGGCCTAAGTGACGCTACTGAATCTGAGTGCGTGCTCACACATTGGAGGATTACTGAATCTGACTGTGAGGTTGAAGGATGATGCAACCCACACAATAAACAGCGCTCGTCTCGTAGCTAAGCACCTATACTGTGTACCCCAGCTGTCTGACAACAGTTTGAAGTTTAATGTATGATGATTTAAAAGATCATTAAAATCATGGTCAGGTAAGGTTAACTTGTATGCGGGTGCTGGGTAGATTGTTGCCGTTGGTCTGTGGTTGTGATTGGTCTATGGGAGGACCATGATGGACGGTGATGGTTTGGGGAGGCCTTAATCCAGCAGTGAATTGATCATGGCCGATGATGATGGATCCGTTATGGTGCTCTGGTGCCCTCACAGCATTCATGCATAGAAATGTGTGTGTGTGTAGTGTCACAGTGAAGTTCTAATTCAGTATCTTTTCACGAATTCACGTTTTCTCATTCACGAAGTCTCAAGCTTGCGTCAGACGGTCTTTTGTGAGTATCCACAACACCTGTTTGTGTTTAGAGGTGTTTCTTTTGAAAATGTTTTCACGAGGAACTAAATTGTTATTTAACTGAACGACAGTTCTTTACCAAAAAGTATTACCAGTCCACGTTGGGAGTCGGGCAACAACTGGCCTTGATCACATGCAATCGCATTTAACAAAGTAACTTTTCACCACAATGTCAGAACACACACATATATATAAAACTGGCTATACACGGCAGCAACAGACAGTTTAAATGAATAGGCTATACCCTTCGCAGCAAACTGAAGTTTACAATTCTACTACGTCTGTTAGAACAGCAAACGACAGATCTCCAAAACATATCATCGCGCGCGGCAACAGTGGATTGGTTACATTCGTCGGCCGTTACCACTTCCACGGGGAAATTGTCAAGAGTCGATCATTTTCGTTCTGTTGTGACTGCTGCTGATGCTACTGTGACTGCTGGTGCTGATGCTCCTGCTGGTATTGTTTATATGACTATAGCTATAGTATTGTTAATATGACTAGAGCTACTGCTGCTGGTATTGTTAACATGACTATAGCTACTCCTGCTGGTATTGTTATTATGACTATAGCTACTGCTGCTGCTACTACTGCTGCTACTACCACTGCTGGAATTGCTGCTGCTGGTGCTGCTCCTGCAGCTGTTGCGAGTGTTGCTACTGCTGCTTGTGTCAGTGCCGGCCCGTGCCATGTCTTACCCACGACGTGCAAATGAGCGTGACAGAAGGCCCTCCCCGCGGAGTTTGACAGAATACACTTGTAAACGCCGGCGTCAGCCAGCTTTGCGGACTGAATGATGAGCCTGAACGTGCCATTCTCTATGCGAAAACAGAAGGCACAGCCAGCGGCTCCATTATGCGGCGTGTTCCACGGGACAGGCAGGACACGGGGAACGTGGGATGGGAAACACATTGAGCACAACACACCGTTCATCCGTTCGCAGCCCCTTGTTTGCACTTAGAGACGCATGCCAGAAGGGCATTATTAATTGTTTACAGCAGTTGTAGGTACCGGGTATGACCACCACTCCGATGACAAAATACTCACGTGTATCCAGGCACAGAGTGTGCGAGGCGTCACACTGTCTTATAACACTTTTTTTTAATGAAGGAAATAAACTTGAAGCATTCGGATCCCTAGGAGTTGGGAAGTATCACCCTGCCTCCTGATAAAAAAAGTCACAGTGCCTCACAGTTCCAGATAATGTGTGTGACTGCTCATATCCTGCTTGCGTGAGGAATGGGAATTAAACATTCCTGTTGGGGTGGGTGAGTGGAGAGGACAACCACTATAATGTAGAGTTAGATAGACCACCCACCACCGACTGGAATTTAAAGTCAGTTGTGAGTTGGGTTCTCAAACTACATATTCGCCTGGGCAGACACACCCTCAACATAATCACTGTCATCATATCGAACGCAGAGGCGTCAGTCCGGTTATCCCTTGCAGAATCACAAGAGACGGAGGCAGGGAAAGCGTGTTGCGTGTGAGCGTCTGAGCGATCGAGTGGGCAGCCTCACCCTCTTTCGACGTGACCCTGCCGCCCAACGGGACCTGCTCGCCCTGCCGGAGCCAGGACACCTGGGGAGGGATGCGCGCCTGGCCCCGGCACTCGAGCACGGCGCAACCTCCCTCCAGCACCGCCACGTCGCACAGTGGTTGCGAGAAGTCCGGGGCGGCCTTAGGGTCGCGGAGGAGGGGACCGGAGGGGGTCGAGGGGCGCGGGACCCCTGCCGACCGGGCGTCTCGAGCGGCCACCTTGCCGGACCTGGGCGGTGCCGGCTGCCGCGCGGAACGACCTAGGGTCGTGGCTGAGTCTCGAGGCCCATCCCGGTGAGACTCTATGTCGCCGTCTCTCTCCACTTCGCCCAGCTCGGGCTCCTCGGCGATGGAGGGCATCATGTCGCGCTTGGATCTGCAAGGCATGGCAGAGATGCTCACGCCGCTTCTCCCATGCTCCATCATCATCTTCAGCCATGATCAAGCCACTGCTGCTGGATGAAGGCCTCCCCGTCATTGCGCTCCATCGGGCAGTGGTAACCGCTAGCCTCAATTACGAGGATTTCCAGTTGACTTTGCTCTCAGAATAAGTGTGGTGAGAATAAACAATTGTTAAAATGTTACCCTGATTGTAAACGGGAAAATAATGTGCGTGTCCTCTATAAATGTGTAGAGTAAACATATTAAGGAGGCAGACAATTAGTCTTCGGTTAAAATAAACTACACTTTATGGATTCTATACAATCACATGGTCCATGCTAATTTGAATGATTTAATCTGTTCATTGACCGAGCAGTAGTGCATTTACAGATTGTTACAGAGATTCACGGTTTGAGACCCACAGTCGCTCTGGTTAATAGTGCAGGTGTATTTACCATAGAACATATACATGCTGCCTGATTAATGCTGGACGTCAAAATATCCCGAAACTATAAATAGAAAGCAGTAGGCCCTGTGTGCCAGTGTCAAAAATTTCCATAGTACCTTTGCCCCCTACAGGCGTCACTCGCTTACCAATCGTTTTTAGTCCATGAGAATTCATCATAAAGAGCAATTTGAATTTAGACCCATTTGTTCGCAAAACGAGCAAACGTTTGCTTAGCGAGCGGAGAGACCAATCGAAAAGTGTGTCCCGTGGCAGCAGGGGGGGCACGGTGGCCCGCAGCTGTGTTTACCAGCTCTCCTGTGCTGTGCCTGCGTGTTTAGTCGTGTGGGGTCAGGGGGCCTTATGGTGGCACTGCGATGGGTGGGTGGGGGGGAGACTCAGCGAAGCTTTCCCAGGTAAATGAAATAAAGTTGAATTACATGTTGGAGGCGTGCGGGGCCCGCGGCTCGCTGACGATGAGCGTGCAGGAGCAGCTGACCTCGCCGTGGGTGTTCGCCGCCGTCACCGTGTACTCGCCCTCGTCCTCGGCGGAGGCGTGCGGCACCGAGAGGCAGTGCAGCCCCTTCTCCGATGACACGCGCCGCCTCTCGCCGCTCTGCACTGGCCGGCCTGGGTAGAGTGCAGTGAAAAATACTGCTGTTTCTACCAGTTAAGAATTGTTATTTATTTTACATGTGATTTGGTGATGCTGCTGCTGTTGCATTGGCAGTGATGCACAAACACAATTAACGAGGGGGAAAAAAACTCAACACGTTAATCAATAACATTGTGGCATGAACAAACAAAAAGTACATGTTTATCTAATCTAGATTTGAAGTTTTCGTGACTTCAGGGATCCATACTCTTTGGATCTTTCGGAAAAATCACGTAGGTATTTAATTTATTTTATACATACGTGACTTTACCGAAAGAACCAAAGAGTACATGTTAATCTAATCTAAGTTGATGTTTATAAAGCGTCTTCACGCAAATCGCTTAACATAGTTTAAAAAACGGTGACAGAATATAATTATTGAGATGGCAGAGAGAGGGTACTTCGGGATCACGAAAGGATTAGGGGAGGGACGGGAAGGAGTGGAGGGGCGAGGGGAGGGAAGAGAATGGGCAATAGAGAAGCTTTATGCGTTTTTGGCAATGGCCCTTCTTCACAGCATTAAGAGAGACCAGAGAAAGAGTTGCATCTCTTGATGCTGCGAAGAACAATTTTCTGCAATGCCACCTATTATCAAACTAAACTCTTTTTATTGCACCAGGTAAGGCTCGCTGAGCTATATATGTATATGTTTTTAAGGCAGTCTTATTGCCGAATGTATTGAGATTTTAATTTGTGGCCTAAGAGTGTGCAGAAGTGGGCCTGTCCATGGGCGTGACATGGCCAAGCATCGGAACAAAGTGACGAATGGGGTTGGGGTTACAGGTAAGATCGGGGTTACCGATTGGCTATGTTTCAGAGAAGGGCCGTTTCACACAACAGCACCACCCGGGCTGAACAGCGACTTAAATCGAAGCTCTACGATGTGAACAACAACACTCACGCTCGCAATGCGAGCATCCACCCAGTCGTGCGTGCGATGATCTATGTATTATTTCATATTCGTACGCATTGTACGCTCATAGGAGACGGGAACTCGCCCGAGAAGAATTCCACCACAGAGACGGAGCGATGAAATCGGCTCGCGTGCAAGGCGCCAGATGTATCCACTGCCAGGCTTTCACCTGGCAGTAGTATAATCATGGTTGCTGATGAAGAAAATATACCACTATATCTCTCGAATACTTTGTCGTATACTCTACTAATATACTGGAAGAATACATTAGCACAGTGAATAGCACACTCCGCTATATATCTGGCGACTCGAGTTCGATTCCCGATCACAACTAACATCAAGGGCAAGTGATATTTGAACCGGGCCCACTCCTGCGCCAAATCGTACTGAATCGTGACCTCGTATTGTTACAATTCACCCAATCGCGATAACGTGAAGTCGGCAGCATTGAATCAATGTAAAGCATTTAAAAATGCACGTATGTAATATAACACATAACCTATGACCAAGTCATCCCGAAGGCGCCCGATCTCACGAAGCTAAGCAGATGTTGGCCTGCACACCATGGATGGGTGACTACTAGGCAGAAGTGATCTTATATCCTGCGGCGCTGTGTGGCAGGGCAGTCGAGGGCAATCCAGCTTAATTCCATACATTTGTTCAGACGTGACACTGTCACTGTCACGTCTGTGCTCTCTTTCCTTCACCTACAGCACCGACCAGCGTGGGGAAGCCCCTCACCCAGTAGCGCATTGGCAAAAAAGGGCTGTAGGTGGTAAAGGCGCGGCCCTGCAATTGCTTGTTCACGCCACTGCTAGGCGGAAGGATCTCCGCTAGAGGGAGTAGAGACCCCATATATGGCGTTTGGCCTACTCTTCCACGCTGTCCAGATCGTCTTAAGTGTAGTTGCACCCAATCTTACCGCTGGGTTGGACAGACGTGTGTGGATCGAAGGATCGTGCAAGTCGTTTCAACTGCCGCTCCCGGAGAACGAACCGGCGACTTCTGGATCGCGATTCCCAGGGCTGTGCATAGACAATGAATCTATGTCTATTGCATACGATGTGCGAAGCCGCTCTGGCCGCGTTGTCGGAGGCAAGTCACGGATACCAAGCGATGTGTATCGCGCCACGTGCTCGTGATGACAGCTGCTGTTAGGACGTGCGGTAGCACAGCGGCGCTACGAACCCGGCCACCCGAGTTCGATTCCCGCTTCACGGCCAACACCACTGACGATTATCTGAGCCGGTCCTGGGGCCTCCCCTAGGTCGACTCAGCCTCAAATGAGTACCTGGTGCGATGTGTAAACATCGCCACTCGGGAGAAAAAGGCGGGCGGGTGTGGTGGTGCTGGCTACCCGACCCCTCGTGCGCCGTGCCGGCCTTCATAGGTGCTCGCTAACAGCACTTGCCCCAATAGTCTGTCACAGGCCACACCGGGGGGGGGGGTCTTTGCTTTTGTTGCAATGAAGGCACGGGTCCCGCAAACGAAACACGTGGGCGGCCACTCAACGTGTGACGATTAATCGATTAATTAGATTCGTACCCCCACGGTAGATGCACGCATCGAATAGTGCACGCGTTAATGTACTATGCGGTTATATTTACGATTTATAACACATTCATATGCGAAGGCAATCCTGCTCGTGTGCTGGAGGCTTGGTGGATTATTAATGGCATCGCTGGATCGGGAGAGACAGCGGCGGCTTGGCGAGGTCTTCATCCAGCAGTGGATTGACCCTGGCTAACTTGAAAACTCATTTCAAATTGAAACTCGTTTTTTTTATAACTGCCTTTCGTGCTTAGTTTGTTGTCCTTCCCCGCCCGCACCTCCGATTAGCACGGTCGGCTACGTACGGTGCTAAAGAAGTTCAGCATACGTACATGGCTGCTGGATGACCCTGTATTGATGATGTGCGAATGGTGCGATAATGCAACCATTGGGTTAACGGAGCGAGTGATACGGAGACAAAAGCCGACAAACACAATTGGAGGATATTACAAAAAATATCGATTCGTGCATCTAATCACAATCCGCACAAGTGACAGTCCATCGAATGCCTATGGGAACGGGTGGGTCTGGACGTGCCGATTAGACGACACCGGCGTGCATCCCTGTCCCACGCGGTTGTGGTGACAGCTGTTCGGGTTAAAGGCCGCGGCTCCACGTGGGTGGCCACTGGGCTTCCTTGCATCATTGATGCACCTGGCACCCCCCCACCCCTTCCCTCCTCCACCCCCGCCGAGTTGGATGCATTGTCGCACGTCTCCGATTAGCACGGCGGGAAAGAAGTTCAGCATACACGTACTATACATGCATCTGAGTCACGATTTGACTCGATCATCGATTTTGTTGTTTGGTATTTTTACTCTTTTCGTTTGTACCGACGCTGTTGTAATGTTTGACTCGTGCTGCCTGTTTCGTTTAATCGTCTGCGCACACATACGTAGGAGACGCCACGGCGATTTCCGATGCTCCTGATGCGGTTATCTGGCTTGGCCATCTGAATGTGAAATTGTAGTTGATGCTCTGCATCTACATTATAAGCCGAACGAAAGAAGACGACTGGCCATCTAGTTTGTACTGCATGTTCCGGCTCGTTTCTCTCCTGGGATTAAGTTCAAGCTGGCGCTGTGCGCAATGGATAGGGATTTGGTTTGGTTGAACGTTAGCGGGGATTGGTTGAATGTTAGCGTTAGGGTTGTTGAAGTGATTGTAGAGTTGGTGGCGGTTATGAGTGGGGTTGCTTCGGGGCTAGTCGTGGACGTGGTGCGAGAGTTAAACGTTGGTGCAGCCGTCCAGGGGTTATGAGCCGATGACCATACCATTATGGCTCTATTCCATTCGATCTCGAAAGCTAAGCAGGCTTGAGTCTGGATAGCGCTCTGCAGTGGCGACCACCGTGCATTAACCCGGTGTATTTTACGTGCTGGGCAGCGTATGGGGCAGTGTAGCAAATGCACTGTTTTTGTGTTCAGTTGTCTTTCCCCCAAACCTCTGATTAGCACGGTTGGCTACGAACGGCGCAAAAGAAGTTCAACAAACATTCCCCCCCCCTCTTTCACCGACCCGCATTGGTGAGCGTGGTGACCTATGGCCACAAATAACTCCCGACAACACAGCCGGCGTGTAGAGGCCCCGCTCATCCAGCGGTGAGATAATCGACCCGTAGCTGCTAGGGTTACTGGCGGAGCCAGTGGGGGGAGGGGGGGGGGTGGTGGGGTGGCACGTGCCCCCCCAATGATCCGATCGAAATCCTTAATTTCGATCGGATCATTGGTGTTTATTAGTAATAAATCGGCATTTTGCGACCCCCACTGCCACTGTGCAGAATATTATTACGTGCCAGGGACTCTATGAAATGGTAGGACAATAGTGTGAGTCCATAAGTAACGGCAAAGCAGTTATAAGTGACTCAGAATTGTGCGCAGTTGCGTATACAGTACACGACTTCCCTGAAGGCATCAACACCTTCAGCGAGCGCGATGCCGATCACACAACGCGGTTCGAATTCGACCCTCGATTGAATAAAAAGCAAGGGACAAGTCCTTACTTACTAACCACTATAATTTTTCATTGCTGGAGTGGTTGCCCCCCTACCTGAAAACGTTGCCTCCGTCATTGTCTGGAGTTATGAGTAGGGGGGGAGGGTTATGGTTGGGGTGGAAGAGAACCTCTCCTCCCACACGCCCCCCCCCCCCCCACCGTTGCTCACCGTCTCGGAACCAAGTGACGGTGGGAGCCGGGGTCCCGCTCACGCGGCAGTCGAGGCGCGCGGGGCGCCCATCCGCCACGTCGAGGCTCTCGGGCTTCCGTGTGAAGATGGGCAGCAGCGAGGGCCTCACCACGAGGCGGATGGAGCAGGTCTGCTCCTCTGCGAGTGCCGCGACCACCGGACACGGACGAGTGGACAAGAGATTCGCTTCCTTTGGAATGGCACGAGCGACGCAGCTGCTGTGCGCGGCTTTAAACGTTTGACAGCAGTGACGCGAGTCGCTAGCATGCGTCGAAACCCGTCGTCAATATATGTCTGGTTGTAAAGACTTAACTGGTGTATCGTCTAACCGACAGGTGCATCTATTACGAGTTCAATAGTGCTGTTTGTTGCTGGCCGCTTGACTTCTGGGATTGTCGGGGACTGTGCTGAGCAACTGAGATTTGTAAAAAAAAAAATATTTACATTCAGTAACGAATGTAAGTTTCCAAAATGCGCTCCAGTCGAGTATATTTATTCGTTTCGCAGAACAGCAAACTCTAGGCGGTATACACCTTAATGCGTTACGCATGGCATTTAATTATGTGGACACATTTATTGGATACGCATTCGCAAAAGGAGCAAAGGAGTACAGGTTTCGAAACCTAAGCAGGATTTTTGGGCCTGCATAGTGCTGGGATGGGTCACCACCATGCACATACTCTACGGGTTCGTCACACGGTGGTGCGAAGCAGAGGGCAGATCAGAAAATAAATTGTTATTCTGTGCTCCTCGTAGCGACTAACGTGGAGAAGTATGATCAAACAACCTTCACGATCGACACTGTGTGGTTTTGGATGGTGGTGGGGGGGGTGCTTATCCAGCAGTGGATTGTCAAAGGGCTGTATACCACTCAGGGCCGTCCATAGAGGGGTACGGGGCCCGGGGATAATCACGTGGGCCGCCTGACGCCTTCAAACGACACATCTGACACCGTGACGTCGAAGCGCGTAGGCCCCCTCCCAAAGTGCGGGGCGCGGGGCGGTCTTGTCCCCGAATCGTCGTACCCAAGGCACAGCTCTGAGCTACCTGTACCCCGATTAAGTTCCTGGAATGCAACGATCGTCCCTCATGGCAACGTGCGTGCGTTTGGTAAGTTTTAGGAGAAAAAAAGTTAAATGTACACCTTTGGCGGTGCTGAGGCGGCACGTGTAGAATCCGCTGTCCTCCTCGTGCGCCGCCGGGAACACGAGGCGCGCCTTGCGGCCGTCGGACCGCATGCGGCAGCCGAGCAGCGCCGGCTGCACCAGGCGGCCCGAGCGCCACCAGTCCACGTCCACGTCGGGCGGCCCCAGCAGGGAACACTCGAGCACCACCTCCTCGCCGGCTCGGCTCGAGACCTCTCGCGTGGCGCTCACCACCGCCAGCTGCTGCTGCTGCTGCCGCTGCTGCTGCTGCTGCTGCTCGCCCACTGCACGGCAGAGATGCCAACCACCATCAATCACCTCGAGCAGCGATGTGATGATGTTGGTGCACAGTTGCTGCTCATATTGTGTAGCACCTGCGCGCAGGCTTTCGTTGGATGTGACGCGCCATAAGCTCTCCGATGCTGCGGTACCGCGTGGCTGTTCGGCACCACGCGTCCCGACGTTTCGCTCGACGTGTTGAAAAAAGGCTCCCAGTACGTGCGGCCAAACGTCGGACATTGTTGAACAACACGCGGTACAATCCGAAGAACATTGGAGGGCTGTACTCATGACGATGTCTAATTGCGCGCAGGCCGTATGCGACCGGCGACTTTATTTCATACGGTTTCGCAGGCTACGCGAGTCCTAACACTTCTAAACGCTCCGCAATGTGTATCCGTCACTGCAAGCATCTTAGCCGCACTAATTGGGTACTTGAGGGGATGGTTTTCGACCTGGCAGCAACTGAGATTCAACTTTTAGCGCGCTCAATCGCTTCTGTCCCTATGGGTTCAGTGACAAAAAAAAAGTGGCCGCACACGAGATTGGACCGTTGCTTTGAATAGCTCCATGAGGGGAAGGCGACGGCGTGGGGAGACCTTCATCCAGCAGCAGATAGACCACTGACAGAGGCACCAACGACATGCGCACAGACACAGACGTTCTCACCTGAGCTCACCGAGCTTCCTGCACCTCTGGGGATCGCGCTGCGTTGCGCCAAGGCGTCTCCGTTGGCCACAACTGGCAAGAACGGGCCCACTTTCCCGTCAGCCATAGCCGACCTGAAAACAACAACAACAACAACAACCACACAGTGAAAGCTGGATATAAGCACATCTAATATAAAAAGTTTCGATATAAGCAAGACATTACATTGCACTAGTGAGAGGGGGGGGTGCCAGGTTAAGGGTAAGTTCTGATACAAGCGCACTCTTTTGGATATGAGCGCGGCTGGCCTTGCTTCCAAGGGGTGTGCTTATATCCTGCTGCTTTTGTAACATCAACAACGCGAACAAAACCACTAACAACAAGACGGCTGTGAGACGCGCATCGTGCTCACAGTTCCGCAATGTGAGCTGCTCTTTATATGGCCATCATCATCGTCCTCGGCGCGCGTACCTTGAGGGTTACACACTGCTTTGGAATGTCCCTTTAGCCTACGTGTGGTTGTTGTGGATTTAAATTGCATCCTAACACGGGAGGAGTGTGATCCTATCGGTTTGCTCATAGAGGGTATTCTTAGCCTTGGCTGCAGGGGGTGTAGCGCAGAACATTGTAAACCATACACGTGCATGGCGTAAGTAAGTGCTGTTAGCAAGCACCTATTAAGTTTGGCAGGGCAAGCGACGCGTGACGTGTATGTCGAACTTCTTCTGCACCGTGCGTAGCCAACCGTGCTAATCGGAGGTAGGGCAGAAGGACAACAGGCTGAACACAAAAAGTAGTTCTAAAGAAACGAGTTTTCAATCTATTTTTAAAAGTGCATGGCTCACGGCGGTTTCCTAATATCGGAAGGAAGAGCGTTCCAGACGGCCGCAATTAGAGCGTCTGAAAGCGTGCGTTGCATTGGCGGTCTTCGGTCGATAGCCAGCCACACCTGACCGCTTTTTGCGCACGTGGTGAGCCATTTATTTATTTATTTATCGGTGACAGCCACAATGAGTCGTCGGGCTTGGTTATTATTTTCAGACATTTTCAGTCCATGAATGATGAGTGTTTATACAAAGAGAAAACCCACTCACACAAGGGATGAGGGCAACACACGAGTGCTGATGTTTAAACTTCAGACGGAGGTGATTGCGATTGTGCTGTTGAGCTCTGCCAATGTGTTTTCAGGTTGTTACCGCGTGTTGCTTGACGCGATGACCGTCCGACCTTTTGCCTCACGTGTTGAGCAGATCGCACTCAGCGCGTGGAGCGAAACGTCGAAAGCACACATTTAGATAACCACACACCCGCTACGAACTTCACGCCCAACCCGCCGAGGTGAGGGCCCAGAAAACGTTCTGACATCGCTCGTGAGTGACCGAAAGTTAGCCCCGTGACCGCGAATCGAATTCAGGTCGCCGTGTTCATAGCGCAGCGGCGGTGGCGCGCACGTGCGAATCGCTGCCCCACCACTCCCCTCTCACGCACAGAGACCCCCGACCGACCGCCCGACCACCCGCCCTCCCCGCCTCTGAGAGCTCTCAGCACGAGGATCGCGCCGCCGAGATTTATTTCGGGTGGTGATGTCAGCGCCGTGTCCTGCGTCACGCCGAGTGACCCCGAGCTACGTTTTAGCGGTAATGCTGACGCGGGTTGTTCGCCTGGCACGGTCGTGGTGGCGCGCCTGCGGCCCGTATGGGTCTGGGCTAAAGCACACATCTGATTGATCTGTGGAAACATGGGGGTGGAGTTCTGCTGATATTCGCGGGTTCTTCCAGCTTAAGTCAAATGTCTCTGTCCACCTTGATTTGAAAAGCTTTCATGACGTACAGCAATCCATACTCTCTTTGGTCCTTTCAGTGAAGTCACGTAGGTAGAAAAAATAATAGATCACGACGTTTCGATCACAACACAAGCAATCGTCATCAGGTGGGACAACCACAGCAAGAACAAACTGCTGATGTAGGCGAGAGATCTGCCGTGGCACGAGGTTATATAGTGTAGGCCTCGGCAGTAAGGGGGAAAAGAGAAGGAGAGGGGGGAGGCGGGGCAGAAAGTGGATTCCCGAGGCAGCACCTGGGTTCTGGAGTAAAGTGGACCACCGCAGCAGCAGTGGAGAAGGCGGCTGCTTTCGATTTAAAGCTTTCGTGACTGCAAGGATTCATCTTCTTTGGTTCTTTCGGTAAAGTCAAGTAGAATGAGAATAAAATAATAAATTAATAAAAAAATAACACAAAAAAATTCTCACGACGTTTCGGCCACAACACAAGTGGCCTTCTTCAGGTGAAAGGAACAGACCTGTCGGGACGACAGAGCTTCAATGAACGTTGTTATGATTCGTAGCGTATTTTAAGCTGGTTTAGAGCAGTGAGGCACCTTGACAAAAGTGTTTACATATAAAACAGGAGAATTTAGCATTGAAATAGGTGAATGATTAGCTTGTGACTGGTCATAGAAATAGCTATGTTAAAGTCAAAGCTGACACATAGTTTCATAGTTCATAGTTTCATAGTTTATTTATTTGGTATAGCCCTGTGAGCCATTCGGCTCTTGAATCGGGTGCAACCTCAACAAACAAAAAACATGAACAAGAAAACATCCTAAAGTGATTATGTGACTGTGCAAACAGAAAATCCAGGAAAAAAACAATCAAAATATTCCTGAAATAGCACCGTACACCAACGCTGTGTGCAAAAATCCCAGTGGATACACATCCACAGAGGCACCTAGTACAAATAAAACAGGAGAATTTAGCATTTCAATGCTTCTGTGGATGTGTAGGCTTTTACTTTAACATAGCTATTTCTATGACCAGTCACAAGCTAATCACTCAGTTATTTCAATGCTAAATTCTCCTGTTTGATTTGTACTAGGTGCTCTGTGGATGTGTAGGCTTTGACTTTAACATAGTCATTTCCATGACCAGTCACAAGCTAATCACTCAGCTATTTCAATGCTAAATTATCCTGTATGATTTGTACTAGGTGCCTCTGTGCATGTGTAAGCTTTGACTTTAACATAGCTATTTCTATGACCAGTCACAAGCTAATCACTCAGCTATTTCAATGCTAAATTTTCCTGTTTTTTGTCAAGGTGCCTCACTTCTCTAAACCAACTTAAAATACGCTACGAATCTTAACAACGTTCATTGAAGCTCTGTCGTCCCGACAGGTCTGTTCCTTTCACCTGAAGAAGGCCACTTGTGTTGTGGCCGAAACGTCGTGAGAATTTTTGTGTTATTTTATTAATTTATTATTTTATTCTCATTCTACGTGACTTTACCGAAAGAACCAAAGAAGAAGGCGGCTGCTGTATACGTCTAGAGTATTTGCTTGTATCCAGAATGCTTCACGGCGACGCCTAATGAATGTCTGTACGGTATTACGTTATATGTTGAACGAGGGCTCCTGCCAATAACATCCGGTAATCCGGCAGTAGATGTCTAACAATTGTACATATAGTTATATACATTCAGTGTCTATGATGATGGGACCCAGCAGGTTGGAACCAGTCCACAATTTGTTTTGCATAAACAAATGCAGCTTGATAATATTGGTCTGGAGAACTAATAGGACTGAAACATATTTGTATTGATATGTGGAAGCACATAATTGAGTTATGTTTATATATTCTGCGACACAGCAGCGCTTAGGAGGTGAGGGTTGGTGGATCGCCCTTATATTTGTGAAACTCCTAAAGCCCACTGGGTTAAAGATGCGGCGAGGTGCAAGGCTGATTTGTACTTCAAAGGGAAATCCAAGAAAAGGCAACGCTAGCACCAAGGAAAGTGGAACAGCCGCTTCGTGCCGAGTAAACCATCACGCCCTCCCTCCGGGGCTGAACTTGCCGCTGCGGAACGTCATACAGGCAGACAGACCGGCGGAGACTCCTTCTCTTCCTGCGTCTCGGGAGTGAGTGGCGGCTGTGATCGCCCCGCGTCCGGTTTGCAACGATCAATCCTCGGCCAACCCCCTAAGGAGTCGATTCAATGTCACAACATCGGGGTCGAGATGTCAATGCAAATAGCAATTTCTTCTCGTTTTTACCGTCTCCTTCGTGGTGTTTTGTTCTTTACAGATGTTTTACGTCTCGTTTTGTGGAGCGTTGTGCTATCTTCGCGCGCACGATGATGATGCAGTTTATCCTGAGCGGCAGGTTAATTTTATTTGGTGAAGTAATCGATGCATCGTAAGTTGCTGAGTGTTGATGTTAGAGTTTATTTTGACGGCACTAACGTCAGACGTGTGCAAGGGGGGGGGGGGTGGTTCATGTAACTATTCAGAGATGAACACACTGCCTTGTGCGTGTAATGATCGATTGTTTGCGTGTTATGCTAATTGTGGACGACGTTTTCCCTTGAGGCGTATGGTCATTGCGAACGAGAAATTCTCGTTACGAACGAGACAGAATAAACTCTAGTGACACCACACTCGAGATATTAGACGAACATATATATAAAACGAGGCAATAGAGACATTACAGGTGACACAATAAAATATATTTTTTTCAAGTAAAAATTACTTGCAATATTTTCGTGATGAATGGCCACGCAATGACGCACAGATTTATAGACCAAGACCGGTACGCTCCGCGAAAGAAACGATACGTCGCAGGATCGATTGTTTGCGTATTCACAAGAACTATTTTCATACGATATGCAATGCCAATTTTGCACTTAGGCTAAAGGAGCGAACCAAAGTGTTGCAGACAACAACAACACCACCACAGCCCAACACAAACGAGGAAGTACAAATGCGATCAATGGGATCAAGATGGGATCAAGATGGCCCGACACAGACACATAACTCAACACGTTCGCCTTTAACACTGTGGCCTTAAAAGGGAAATATATTTGAGGCAACGTTTCATGCAATGGACCTTCATAGCACATGCATCAAGTTATTTACGTGCGACAGAGAAGAGTAATTGGCCAACACGTCGCCGCATATTGTTTTTTTTTCCTTTTGAAGGCCCCGTGTTATTGACGATGGTGTTGACTTCGTGTGTGTGTGCGTGTTATTTGTGCTTGTGCACCACTGCCAACGCAGCAGGAGCAGCACCACCACCACCAAATAATTTGGACAAATTGTTGATCGATCGCGAACTCGGTGGGCGCGGGGCACAGACTCGCGCTGCCCCGCGTGCCAGCCTGGATGGCACGCGCCTGCAGCTCCCTCCTGACGAGGGGGGGGGGGGGGTTACATCAGACCATGACAATGCTCGAACATCCCGAGTCGTGCTGGGGGGGGGGGGGGGGGGGGGGGGGTTCAGTGGTCACGTGCCAAATGCCCAGTGCTGTTTTGGTGAAATTTGGCTGTTATAAACTTCCACGTGATAAGCCGCTTCGTTGAGCTATAATTTGTGGCCAGGTCGCTTCTGTAGCTCAGTGGGCCTTACCTATTAAAATAAGAAGTTTTAGTTTATAGTTCACACCTGGGAGCGGGTGCCTTCCCGTTGAGCTCTCTGCTGTGTCTCCCCTCCATGACCCGGCACCCCTTGTCCTGCTCTCAAGGCCGTTCCTGCAAAATGTACGGTACAAAATCACGCGTTAGACCTTCGCCTGGGAAACCGTTAAGAGAGAGAGTCGAGATTGTAGAACTGTTTGAAAAATAGTATTTAGACAGCAGAAGGTACAAAAAAGTCCACTGCATACCGGGTTCATTCCTACATCCAACCATTGTTTATTGCTGCCATATTTGATGATTAAAGTTGGCCTGAGGCGGTCTGTTAAACAGGGGAGAACAGCAAGAAGACAATGGCCGAGTTAAAGAGATTACACGACAGAAAGAGTGGTGCCTTCACACCGTAGGGATGTTTCATTTATAAGGGATGGACATGATGGGTGATTGGCAGATATGTAATCACAAAAATAAAATTTAGCGATGTGGGGAAGTCTCAGGGTAGCCCTTGAGGGACTGGCAAGCCCTGTCAAACATCTTGAGTTGTCGGTGTGCAGAGGTGGGGCCGTTGTGATACAGGTGGGCTGTGGAGCGGTGTGAGAACACTCTAGAGATGGGGCCGGACACCACTGCGCAGAGACGGCTGTGACGAACATCTTAACAGCAGATGTTTTTTTAACTTAACAGCAGAGTTGTGGAACATTGCCAGTGTTAATAACGTTAACATTTAAGGTGTTTTCCCCCCTCCGTCGTTGTGGAGATCATAGTTTTGCGTGGTATGCTGAAGCTTAACAAATGGCGTAGTAAAAGTTGGAGCTCGCGTTCATTCGTCACTTGAGCTCCCATCATGGACCAACTCACTCACTCACGGACCATATCAAGAAGCGCAGCCACAGTGTGCGTACCACGAGAGAGCCCTCTCGTCCCGAGTTTCACCCGGCCGCGGTGAGGCTATATCCAGTGGTCCCATTCAGACGCGCGTCGGCCTCGTAATGCGCCCGGGGGTGCCTCTCGCTTCTCCTCTCGTCTCCTTTGGTCTCCTCTGAATTTCTCGCTTCTCTAAGCCGCCGAGTGTCCATCATCTCTCGTGTTGCTATTGCGTTGTTTCTGTCCGTCTGTCAGTGTGTGCCTCTGTCTGGCTGTGTCTGGCTCTGTCTGTCTGGCTCTGAGACCGTCTAAAAAAAGTGGAGCGTGTTGATTGAGAGCAAACAAAATGAGCAACGCTTTCCAACATGCGCTTGTCTTCGGAATTATTTAATTAGTTATGGAAGCCGACTGGTAGCTGTCAAGGCAAATCGCACTTTGCGCTATTGCAAATACAAGTACAGCAGTTCCTTTTGCTCTGGGGTTGTCTCCAAGTATTGTTCAACCCTTTGATCAATGTCACGATAAGTCCCTAATAGTCACGGTCTCTAAATGTCACTGGTAAGTCACTAATAGCAGCGCGACTTTATACCGCAGGTGAGTTTATATTGGATCGCCTTCACGAGAGTTCTGGTGCCCCCCGTTACGGACGCGTGCGACCTTAGTTGGAAACCCTTAACAATTGAAACGTAACAGATTAAGCATTCGCGCTTTCAGACCATGGCGATCGTTCTCCTTCATGGACTCTAGAAAGGGTCATTATATATTTTAAAGCGGTGTTAATGACAAGTGTGGTGAGTTTTTTTTTTGTATGAGTGATTGTATATCGCTCGCCAATGTAGTTCCTTTTATATATATGCAGTCGTCTTAGTTTAGAGCTCAACCGCCGACAGTGCTCACCATGGGCACAACATTGACTCTCCGAATGAGAGCCAGAGCACGTAGACGGGACTGGGCTCGAGACGAGACCATCCTGATTCTACCTTGTGCGCGCATTCCTTATAGCGAGTCATCCATCCACTGCTGGATGAATCCGCACCCCCTCCCAGCACGCCGTCGCCATCTCTCACGTTCCTGCGATGCCACAACCAATCACACTCCTGCACATGAGCTGATCTCATTGCTCCGTCTCAGAAGTGGCCATCCTTTCTGGCGTAATTTCTCCTTCGGCTTGTCGTCCCATCATCAGTCTCACCCATCGGTTATCATCCCTTCGAATCCATGACGCGTCTGTACTCAAGTCCACAGGATTGGCGTTTGCTCTGTACTTCATGCATTTTTTCGTCTGTCTGTCATTTGCAGAAATGCGTGCGTTGAGTGGATCCTATCACCGTGTGTCCTATTAGAAACTCACACTGCAGAGCAATTAGGTAGTGCTTGGGTAGGTCTCGTCGTACGTTTAAATTCTTTCGCACCGTACGTAGCGTAGCTCACCGTGCTTATGGAGGTGTTAATTTGCTTGAATTGCCTAACTCTGGATTTAAAGGGCGCTTTAAATCCTTCATTATAACCGTGATACTCTCATACCAACTTAACCGCACCTGTATAGTCTGCGGGAAAGCACTGACCGAAAGATGATGTACATTACAAGCTGCTACGGATATGGAGAGCCCTGTTTCAAGCCACTGCTGGATAAGGGCTTCCCCACTGCGTGTGGATCGTGGGTCATTTAACCAAATACACTGGTCAGTGTTGATTATAGATCTGAAGCTTTCGTGACTGCAAGGATTCATACTTTTTGTTTTTTTCGGTAAAGTCACGTAGGTAAAAATCAATAAAATAAAATAAATGAAAAACAACTAAATTAAATCACGATGTTTCGGAGGCAACACAAGCCTCCGTCTTCAGGTGGAAACCGTCACAGCAAAATTGCTGTATCAAGTAATTGCTGTATCAAGTGATCAAGTAATTGCTGTATCAAGTGATTGATGCAGCAATTTTGTTGTGACGGTTTCCACCTGAAGACGGAGGCTTGTGTTGCCTCCGAAACGTCGTGATTTAATTGAGTTGTTTTCATTTATTTTATTGATTTTTACCTACGTGACTTTTACCGAAAAAAACAAAGAGTATGGTCAGTGTTGGTTGGTGAAGTTGGAGAGCGTAGACTTGGTAACATAGAAATACGTACAGAACAAGTATGTTTTTGTCAGTACTGCCCATCACGCAACTCGGAAACCGGTAACACCTGTTATGCACTGTGGTCGCCCATCCAGACATTATCAGCGCTCATCCTTGCTTAGCTTCCGGGATCGAACGACATCAGAGGCGCGTTCCGGGCCATTTGGTTCGAGGCCACAATGGGAATGATGTCGTGAACGTCACCGCGCTGTTGAACACTTTCACACACATCTAAAGGCGTGGACCTATATGAGACCAGGCGTTATTGTGAAATAATAGACGCAACGCATTAAAATCGTGGTCAGCCAAACAAACATTTGGGTTTAGTTGCTCTACGCATTCAGATTCACGCACGCAAAGTCGTTACTCAGGATTGCGTAATCTTGAAGTATTCCCAATCCTCAAGATACCCAGGGACAAAGTCATCGAGCCGCTATCACCGCGATCCGCTTGGTGTTTCCTTGTCAGCCAGATGCATCTTCAAAAGGACGCTTCGGTCTCAATTGGCGTTCGCCTGGTTTAAATGAAGGATAACTGTCTGGCAATATAATTACATTATTTTGACAACTTTTGTTTCTATCCACTTCCGGATGAAGGCCTCCCCCCACACCGTGTCGGTTATGGCATAGTTGTTTCAACATACCGTGCCTCACAATTCTGGTTCGTTCAGTTTGGTGAAGCCAGTTCTCAGGACCGGTTCAGATATCGCTCTTCAATGATGTAAGCCGTGGCCGAGAATAGAACTCAGGTTTGCCGGTTGCCTATTGCAATGAGCTAATCACCGCGCCACCGCTCCACCCCGTCTCTCATAATACCAACAACAACAGCCACAATAAATCGTTTCTATTATTATTATTACGCTGAACTCTCCCGCAGTGATATATTCACACGGCTCGCGTCGTTTGTCGGGTGCAGGAAAACTCCGGTACTCGAGATTCCCAAGGACATAAATAATGAAATGAATAACAACACAGTCACGTGTTCACGATTGAAAGTTGCCGACGAGAGGTTGCAATCGATGATCCACTGTGACTTTTGAAATGACCACTGGTGACGCAGACCCGAGACTGGTGCACGACTGACTTATTATGCAAACTGCAATCAGGTGCCAAGACGGAAGAGGGTGATGAGTTCCAGGATTTCACGGTTGTCTCTGGGGTGTGAATGAGGGATGACGAGTTCCAGTGATGAGCTTCAGCACAGAGTGTGAGGCAGGATGAGGGGCGTTGCGCGTCAAGGTCGACAAAGTAAGACGATTCGCACGCCGAGGCGAAGGTGAAGATAAGCGAGAGAATGAATAACGATCATTCCGAAGATCACCGACCATTGAAATAGCTTTAGAAGCGGCAAAGACAGGCGGCAGAGCGACTATGGGATCAACAGGCAAGGAAGGAGGACATGGTTGATTCGTAATTCAATAACTTAGTAGGCATTGATTACGTCTTAACAATTTAGCGGGCATTTAAAGTCACGTTTTAGTCAGTTTTCACATTGACAATGCGCTCGTATCAGTCGACAGTGATATGAGCACGGTCAACGCCGGCTCAGTGATGACGACGACGATGGCCATGATGATGCACCGAGTGACTGCAGGAGCCCCGGTAGAAGACGTTTGAGGGCGTCACGTGAATGTGTCCTGAGTGTGGCCCCAGAAGCAATCGCGCGATGGCTCACGGTGCCGGGACGGAACTTGGCTCTCTGGGGGTCGGGGGAGGGTGGTGGATGAAGAGCGGCTATTTAGCCTCGGACTCTGCCCTCTCAGGCTGAGCAAAGAGGCTGCCTGTCAGTGCGGACACAGCGCAAGGCAAATCCCAGCGTGTCAAAGAGAGTCAGCCAAAGTGATTTCCTCGCGAAAATGAGCCCGGAGATGAGGCGCTGATCTCCTTGTGTTACGACTTTTATACGGGGTGATGGCAATTCCACATGCATATGGTGGGGACGAGTAATTCCACGGGGAAAAAAAAAAACGCCGTTGACTTCCCACAAGGTGGTACTTATTTTACACACCCTGAAAGAGCGAACGACGAAGTTTGATACTCCCGACCGGAATTGAACTCGCCACTTTGCCACTGCAAATCGCACGCGTTTTGGGTAAGCGCTCCGCCACTCGACAAGTCTGCATTTGACGATGATGATGATAATAACAGCGAAACAAATGCTAAGAATTTACAGCACTCATTCAATCCACTGCTGGTGGATGAAGGCCTCGCTACGCCGTGTCTGTCGTGGCCGGTTCTTTGCTAGGTGCAACCTAAGACGGGTTCAGTTATGACTCGCTGTTAATGTTAGCCGTATCCCACTGCGCTCTCGCTCCATCCCCAAAATAAACAAAAGCCACATTATTAATAATACTATCGATTTGAAAAGCGTTTGATCTACACTCGCATTTTAGCCGAGGTGTGTAAAGTAACAATGTAAAACAACAACCGCGCGCACACGCACCCACCGTGCCACTCACGTGTTCAACTCGGCCGTTAGAAGAAGCATTGGGGATTCCTCGCGAGCGGCGGCCGAATTTGGGGGAAATCGCAGAGAAATCGAGCTGACCTCACGCGAGTTCACCAGGTCCGTCCGCTGGATCACAGCAGCCCTCGGCCAAGGGGGTTCACGCGAGGAGAATCCGTGGCGTGATCGCTTGTGAACACACCTCGCTGGTGGTGCCACCACGCACGCCGCGCGCGCGCGCAACAATATCCTCCAGACCTCCTCCACCACCACCACCCACCCACCAACCACCTCCTCTGGTGGTAAGCGAACGCGACCACATGGCGGCCGGGAGTAGGATGTTGCGGCGCTATCTTTAGCGCACCGCGAATAGCTCTCTTGCGTGAGCGACACACGGCGAGGTACAGTGCTCCGCCAGGGATGGTGTGCGCCCTGTGGCAAAGAGCCGCGCTCTCAGCCCAGTTTCCTACAGATGGGCGCGAAGAGTCATCGCCTTATCGGTGGGATTGCGTTTGCAGCCAATGATCACGTCATCGGGAATGTGCCCGATCTCTCTCAAATTTCACGAAGCTAAGCGCAGGAGTTGAGCCTGGATATCGCTTCGGTGAGCCAGCAATCACTGTGCAACAACACGGATTGCAAAAGACTGCAGCAGGGCTATGTGGTAGGCAACAGAGGGCAGTGCAGCAACATTCGCTTTGTTGTGCTGTACTTCCATGCTCCCGCGTCTGTGTCCCTCACCTTCACTAAAACCGCGCAGACCAGCGTGGTGATGTATCGTCAAATGAACCCCTAAGACCTGCATTGCGTGGGGAGACTCTCATACACCAACGGATTGACAAACGGGCTACGTGTGCATTGTTTCAAAAAACCACGGATCGTTCTGGCCTGGTGACGCACGGCTTTGATTCAGTCCTTTGGAGGCGAGGGTTGGTGGACCACGCAAATTTGCGAAACTCTAAAACCCCGCTGAGTTGCCACTAGAAAGTGGGTTCGTGAACCGGTCGGAAGGACATTTGAGTGTTATCCCTTCGTACGCGTGACGGATTTGTTTTTCCAAGCACCATGATTTTCTCCCACACGAAACTAATTGATTCTTTAAAAAAAAAAGCATCCGAATGCAGGACCCTCCTGAAAATAGTATCAGGCCTGATGGAAGCTTTTCTGACAACATACGCTGGCTTAGAGGAGACCCTCAAGCCAGCGGTGGATTGACCATGGCTGACGACTATGATGCTGCTGCTGCAGCAAGGCACAAACACGTGGAGACGTTCTCCTCTTTATGTCAATCAACGGAGTGATGACAGTTACCACATAACTGCGCGTGAATTCCAAAAGAACGTACACCACCAAACACAATTCGCAATGTGGAGAGAGACGGCGCCTTGCCGGGTTGTGCCCCCGGGGAATTGAATTCGTAAACTCTCATGGCCGATGTCACCAGGGTTGCACAACGGAGTGCGCCTCAAAGTCACTTTGAGTCTTGTTTTGTCAAGAACGAAGTTCCAAACTTGTTGAGCGCAGAGCCGAATAACGCAAAAAAAAAATCTGCCAGGCACTAACTAGGAACCGTTAGAAATTCAACTTAGCTTGTGTATTTTTGTGCGAAAATTCCGCGTTACATACACGTAGCTGCAGCCGTTGTTGGTTATTTGTATTCTACGCTCTGTGAAACAATGTACAAAATTAGATATGTTCTATATGGGTGAGAATGCATTACTGGCTGCTAGTGTATATATATAACTGTAAGTCCTACTACACTGGTGTATTACTTTTTTTAAATGCAACTCTCTGTGTCGCTCCACTGCTTGACGAAGGCCTCCCTCCACACCTCCGATTAACACGCTTGGCTGTGTACGGTGCGAAAGAAGTGCCACGGACACATATGCCGTACCCGTCGTGGGGTTGTTTGACCATATTTTCCCACGCTGGTCAGTGCGAGTTGGAAAAGGGGGGGTAGTGAACGGTGGAGTTTCTGGATATCCAGAAATGGTTGGTTCAGATATCACTCACCATTGAGGTTTGCCTTCGATGGGAATAGAACTATGTGCGCCGGGTTCCTAGCGCAGTGCGCTAACCACTGCTCCACCCCTGTGTGTCACTGACAGAGCCTTAATCCTACAGAATTCCTGTCTCTGCTAACGAGGCTCATGCTCGCACGATCGGAACCACACTCCTTCCCTCCTTGTGTGCAGTGAATGACCGGGTGATGACATGTAGCTCGGCAGTAAATATTAATATTATTTTTCCACGCATCCCCCGTTGAGCCTCAATACTGTCAGGAGTCTTTTGCACTGCGATGTTTGACCAATTCACGTTTAAATCATGAATACAATGTTATTTATTTATCTATAGGAAATCACCAATGATAATCAAGACTTTGTCAGGTTGATTCTGCATTGGGATGATTGGCCAAGTCCTTTTAAACCAGTGTTTTGCTACGAGTGGGAGGAGACCGGAGTTTGATTTACATCCCTTAGTAAATCCACTGCTGGATGATGCGCCCTGTCAGCCATGGGGGGGGGGGGGTGAGACCGCACGAGCCAGAGAAAACCTACGACGCGTACGATTGGATAACACTCAACTCGTACTGCCATCACGTAGCTACCTCGCAGCCAGGGTGCGCTTGGGAGTTTCATAAATCTCTGCGCGATCCACCATCCCTTGCCTCCAAAGGGCTGGATCACAGGAGGGCACCACGCTACCGGCAACTGCGCTATGAACCCGGCCACCTGAGTTCAACTACCGGCCACGGTTAAATGTCAGTGGCGGAGTGATATCTGAACCGGCCTTGCCGCCACCCCCTTCCTCACCCCTTCACCCACCACTCATCAACTCGCACTGACCGGCGTGGCTAAGTGTGGTCAAACACGCCATATCATTGACACGGGGTGGGGAGGCCTTTGTGTGTGTTGGACTTCTTTCGCGCCGTACGTAGCCAACTGTGCCAATGGGAGGTGCGGGGAAGGGTACCAAACTAAGCAACAAAAATCAGTTCTAAAGAAATGTGTTTTCAAACCTAGATGTTAAAGTGCATAGATGGCCGCAAGAAGAACATCTGAAAGCGCGCGATGCAGTGACCGTCTTTGTTCGGTGGTGAGCTAAAAGCCGCTGCGAGGATGAACGGAGTTCACGTCATGATGTATGTCTCTTGACGAGGTCAGCAGGGTATTGTGGTTCACTTGTGGCAAGTACTTTGGATTCGCAAAGGGCTGTGTATGGAGACAAATTAAGTTACCCAGTCTTTGTACGTACGTGTGGAATATTTCTTCGTGGGAAGACGTCAGACCGTATGGCATCGAATTTCCTGGCTTCAAGGCTCTTGTAGCTGGGTACGTCACGTTACGATTGCAAAATGCAGGCCTCGTTACTGGCGATGGTCGTGGATTCAACTCCCCCCCCCCCCCAGTTGAACCCAGCGCTCAATTAGTTTCTGCCAGTACAAATATATGTTACACGTTGTCATGCTGAAAAGCGATTAGCCGGTAACACACACTGTTGGCACCGAATGTGTTAAATCGCAAAACCCAACTTGTAACAGGTGCTGGCTACACCGCACAAAGCTCATTCCACTGATGATTCCAAGGACGAGGCTCAGTGAAGGGTGCCATCGCGAAATGAAGACTGTGTTGTAGTGTTTTCAAGTGTTAAATACATATGTAATATATATTATCTCAACATCTGGATGTAATATATCCCAAGAAGAGACTTGTTGAGCAAAAAGTATTGAGACTTGCTGTCATAATTCATGGGTGAATAAATAAGTATACCTTTGTCAAATACTACTTCAGTCTCTGTAATATGTTTCTAATGCCTGTATTTTAGATGACATTATACATTTATTCTTAGAGATGTTATTCCTAATTTCACGTCTAATATTGTTTCATCTTCGTTGCTTCTTCTGCTCAGATGTACTTAGCTGTTTTTGTTGTTATGATACGTTTCCTTTCATTGTTGTTTTAAGATGTTTTCATCCCAGGTCTCCCTTGATGGAGCCTTTCAGGTTGAATGTAAGACTCATTATTTGAAGGTTACGTTTGTAGTTTTGTAACTACACAGGTTAATAAAATATACCCCCCTCTCCTAATTTATCTCTACATAAAAGTTTTACAAATTTCAGTCCATCAGAAAGTTGGCTTTCACAAATCAACATTAATTGTTAAAACCAAAAAAATCTGGACCGATTTCGATCTTCATGTATAATTGGTTATTAATTTTGCTCGTTCTACCCATAATGCTCAACCACAACGCAATTTTTTTTTTAAAACTAGAATGAAAACCAGAATAAAGCTTTCATGACTGCAGGAATCCATACTCTCTGGTTCTTTCGGTAAAGTCACGTAGATAGAAAACATAATAAAAGAAAGCACAACGTTTCGGTCGCAACACAAGCGACCGTCTGCAGGTGAGAAAAATAATCTGCTGTTGTGGCTCTATATAGGCACGGGAGGGGGGGGGGGGAAGGAGTTTTGTCGAGTCGTGGTTGTAGGAGTTCACGGGGGAGAGGGGGGGGGGTGTCGTGCAGGGACGGGTGGGGGCTGGCAAAGGGGGGAGAGGGGGAACCAAAGAGAATAGAATAAAACCATTCAACGGATTCACTCTTTGAAGTCACAAATAGTTGCTTGCGCTCTACTGCTGTGATTGTGCCGTGCCCCTCTGTGTGATTGCGGCACTATAACTGTCGCTGTGTTTGTGTGCTTATTAATGTGTGATTGTGTAGTTGCGTTGGCTGTGTGGTTGTGGTTGCGAGGCCAGTCCGCAGAGCATCTACGCGTGATTTATGATGCCACTGGCAGCAGCAGCCACGCACGATTCGCGTCAGAGTCGGCTGAGCGCTAAGAATATCCTGCCCTGGCTTAATTGTAGCAAGCTCTGCCTGGAGCTTTCCATTACAGCATCACTGAATGTAAACAGCTCCTGGCAGCCGAGTTAAACCGTAGTTACACGTGTTGAACACCTAGTCAGCCCTTTTGTCCATCTATTGCTAGACGAGGGCCTGACCAAAGCTCGAATGAGTCGCGGAAGGTTATTTTGACCAAACTTCAGCATAGCCGGTCAGTTGTGCTTGCTGCAGCTGAAGGCGGGAAGCATTGCTGTGGGTTACAAAACTGGACATTGCAGCGCTGCCCTCTACTGCTCAGTACGTCGCTCCGCAGCCGCCTATGGCAACCTGTGTGTGCATGATGGGTGAGCATCCATCCGTCCACCATCTAGGCTCAGCCGTGCTTAGCTTCCATGAGTTTGCGTGTCTCTCTCACCGTGGTGGCGTGGATTTTTCCCCGGGTCCTCCGGTCTTTCTCTCCGCGTTTAGAAACGAGCGTTTGGAGTATTTGGCTGCTGTACATTTCCACGCAATAATCCACTTCGGTGAGCTGTCATTTGTGGCCAGGTCGTTTCTGAATAAAAGAGCTCTATAGCTCAGTGGACCTTACCTGGTAAAGTAAAAAAAAGGTTTAATAGTTTAGTTTTAATTCATGGTGATATCGGTCAGATGCGTTTAATCGTTACTCAAATACAATACCCCACGTGTGCTCCCGCACTCGCACGCGTGACATAAACTACAAGCGGCAATTCGTCAACGTGCGTCCTCTTCGGAGAACTCCCTCCTAGACCGCTCG